ATTCTTCCGTGACGGGCTTTAGATTCATTAGCTCGGCCTTTCCAGCCACTAGTTTTATTGGACTCGACGGTCAGCGTCAGACGTTGAACCTTACTGCGTTCAAAAGCCTTGTTTTGTTTTCGGACCCTCTGTTGCCCCCTAAGGTTGTTCCATCTCTTCCAGAAAATTCGGCAGAACATTTCCGCCGGGCGCACTAACCATAAGAGATCCAATAATCAGCATGACGGTACAGCGGACTTCCTTCTTGGGCGCAGCATTGGCCCGACATAATCATTTGATGATTCCCGCTTATCATTCCCCTTTTGTGAACTCATTTCTCCGTACGTCGTGCTTGGCAGTAGGGATGTCGCATCCCTGCATTGGGGCCTCGCGGCTCCTGTCAGATCCAGGGGCGAATAATGCTACGGCCACGCACAAGCGAGGATCATTAATGTGGTCTCATAGAACTGAATGCTTGTCAAAATTTGTAATCCATGTCTATCAAATTTGCCAACGCCCACGCTTCAGCGGTCTCAGATCTGGCTCTCGGGAGTGAACCATGGACCGGCTCCTTCTTCCCCGATCCCTTCCCGCTGCGATCCAAGGGTCGATCGCGCATCGACGTCGGTATAGACAATGTTTATCGATATGCCTTGCGTAGTGGACATTAAGATTTACGGATGGAGGGGCAACGAGGCCGTCGAGGGACAAACCTCTCGTGGCGGGGAGGTGGGCTCGAGACTATGGATTGCAGTAGCCCCTCCCCTTTTCTTAGATATGGATGAGGCGAACAATTGCTTTCGTATTCGAGCGTATGAACAATGCGAAGGGATCAAACAGCCGACAGAATCCCCGGATCCGGTAATAATCCTACACAGGCGCGTCCAAACCCCCCCCAAAAGAGGCGGGAGAATTGCCCTGCAATATAGGCTGACGTCTTACGGAGTACGAAATGACGACAAATCCACCTTGGTCGGAAGCCATTATCCAGGTGGAGTACCGTTCTGGACCATCCTGACCCATGGCCCTGGAAAGCTGGAGCCTTAGCGAGAGAGGGACCCGAGGAGATAGCGCGCACAATGGCGCAAACCCGACAGCTCCAAAATTCGACGTAGACCCTGTACAACTGTTCATTTAACCAAAGCCCAAACCTGCAGGTGACCCGGCCTGCATAACCCGGTAAAAGCCATGTGTTGAAGCGGTGAGGACTTACGCGAACCTGAAGGGCCCCAAAAGAACAGCCTAAGCTTGGACAGTAGACTCACCGACATGTTCGATTCACGACCGCCAGAAGAACGAAATTCCAGACCGGGAGTGTGTAAGCGGGGCCGCGACCCCCTTTCAGAAGTTGTCGGGACAATATGCTCCATCCAAGCCCCAATTGTGCGGCCTGCCGTCCCTTAGTTCAGGGGGTCGGGGAAGAGGTTCCCAGGGGAATCCTGCAGCGGCACTGGCGTGCATGGTGGAGTCGAGGGTCGGGACAGGAAGGAGGCCAGGGCTATTTGGTGACTGGACATCCCGATCCCTTTCGTAGATCCATTATTGGGTGAGAGGGTCCCCATTCGCCGGGTCTCGATTATTCGACGGTACTTTTGTACAATGACCTCTCCTTCTTATTAGAGCCCAGGGGGAGACAATGAGTTGGTTCCGCCTTGACCGCTCAGGGATGGAATGAGGCCTGGATTTCGGTCCAAGTCGATTCTCTGGTGGCCCCCAAGGGATTAGGAATGGTGGATCACGAACTGACCAACGCCAACACATACAGTCATGTTGCTTCGTATGGATACTTGACTCCTGGCAATGTAGCGATTGATGACGGCTATCGCGCTGCAGGCGGTCAAGTCACCGCTCAATCATAACGCCTTATCACATCTACTTATCTCTTCCCCCCATGGACGGAGTGGTGCTTCTTGCCAACCGGTGTTCCTGGGTCGAGAACGTTTGGCCTGGATCGGTCCGCTGCATCGGGAAGTGGACCATGGATTGCAGTCCTTGATTCTGATTCAATAGCATTTTGTGATACGAGGCCGAAGGTACTCCGTACATCCCCCCTTTATTTTTCCCCTTACATGCAGTTCACCGCTTAGCTCGGGCGAATTGCGCCCTGGAGAAAGTTTACGGAGGTTTCCATGATCCTCCCGGGATCTCCGAGATATGCGGTGGGCCGTAAACACACCGATAGAGGCAGGAAATAGACCTTGGCTTGAGGTGCTTCATTTCCGGCTGGCTTATGGACAGTTGTATGGAGTCATTCTATCTATAACTGCATACTCCGTATATATGAAAGACCGTTTGATAGAGGACGAACCGTGGATTGACCACCGATCTTCAATCCATGCCAGAAATGTGGGATCTTATGTCCCCACGTCCCCACCAAGTGCGAGTCTGTTTGCCAGACGCGTTTCCCAAGTAACGCGTCGTCCCTTCGCGTCCGAGCGGATGCTCGGGTTCCCAAACGATACAATGCCCCACGTAGGGACGGCATCTCAGGCTCATATAAGGAGTACTCCGTAGTAGAGCTGGATACTTCTACTTTGCGGTGAACTGACATGCCAACACATGTCTCTGTGGGACCTTCAAGCTTGTTACAATGAGCCCGCCACATAGGACATGGCTATAGGGCAGGGACAAGACTAGTCCAAATTGAGATGAAGTCACCGGTATCCCGGGGACCTTGCTTTGGCTTCTGTCCCCACATGGGTCTTGCCCCAAAGAAGCAAGAGTGGGCTAATCAGATGATGCTATCCAAAAACCCAAAGGCCGGTGCCGGTTCTGCAGGTCGACGGCTGCACCTGGAGCCATAACGTCACACAGGTAGATCTATACATATCCATCTCTACGCATACATCGCACTAAGGTTGGTGACGCGAGCCCAACGGAGCTGAGCGACATCTCCGAGAAGCGTTATAGAAATGCCCCTCCAAGCGTGGCACAGTCAAATCGCCACAAGCGGGGCGCGCCGAGATGAGACCGAAACTTGGACCAGTCAGCCAGCCGGGCTCCTTAGGGGCGCCAAAGTCGGATCTCCGTGATCTGTCAATCAGGGGAAATAAGAAACCCCTCCAGGACGAACAAATTTGGTTATTCGAGAGGTGCACCTGTCAGGGCCAGAACCCTGATTTGATCCTCCGGAATATCGGCCTGAAAGATCCAGAAGAGGGTGGATTGATCGACCCAGCCCACCTGCAGCTACTGACGACGGCGCCCCGCGGATGAGCAGGTTTCCCCCATTAGACCCGATCGAGGATCGAGGCTGTAGGCTATTGCCCTTTGGGATTTGTCGATGTTATTCGCTCGTCCTCCCCTTTTTCTGTTCAAAGAAAGTCAGATATCATGCCCGGGAAATTGGTGCCCATCCCTGTCTCATTCCCAACCCATCCGATTGCCCGTGTCTTACTCGGAATTGTGTAACGATATCCGATCGGAATTAGAGTCAATCTTTTGTTGCCGATCGTTTTGGAGGGGTTTTGAACCATCAAGAGAGGGGTCGCGTGGGCATGAACCATGGTTACAGCCGGACTGTTGACGGATAACGTCAATGCGACCATCACTTGTATATAAGTCAGCTCAAGAAAGATGTATTGCAGGCCTGGAGGGTTTCTTTATTGACTATGGAGTACCCAGCTGGCAATCCCATGTTTAAATTTAGCACCGCCAAAGCACAAATGGCGGATGGTACCTCCAGCTTATACATCAAAGACTGGAAGAAGATTGTAGGGGCAGTCGCTGTGGATGTGCCACGATCGAGACACTAGATCGCCTCACATGCCAGCCACACACATTTTCCCCTTCCAAAGCCCGCCCCTCCTTCACAACGCCGAATCCCATTGGTTTACCCTAATTATTTGAGATGCTACTTTTTTTTTTCTTTTCTTTTCTTTTCTTTTTTTTTTGCCCTGAGCGAGGGGCCGCTGCATGGCCCACTCTAAACCCTCGCAGGGAACGGCGGTGTTATTTCCCAGTTCTGAAGATCAATCTCCGTTTATTGTTTGAAGGCCGAAAATAATATTTTTCATACTTTCCGTGACTACGGAGTAGAGAAAGTGAGAAAGCTCGTCCTATTCTGACTTCTTGTTGCTTTCTTTTACTTTTCTCTCTCCATCTCTCTCTCCTTATTTATTTTTTTAGTTTTAAGTTTTATTTTATTTTATTCTTTTTTGGGACTTCCTTTCTTCCATATTGAATTAGAGCAACCAGGAGCGGAACGGGGACCCCTCCGAGTCCTTGAATGAATCTATGTATCGACTGTAGAGTATCCTCGTAGCCCCTCCAAAGTAAACATTCGGGCGAACCGGCATCATGGGATCGAAGGAACCAAATTGAAGCCATGTGGGAACACTATGATCGGGTCTAATCTACTTTGATGTGCGAATATTGGGAATAATTACGACGTGTCGAGTTAGGCTTAAGGGGTTTTAGTGCGGAACCCCAGTGGGGCGTGGATACAGGAAACAGGAGTGCGTGGCCGGAGGGAAAGGGGGGCTGGGAAGAAGTCGGAGGGGAAGGTTATCCCCCACCAGCGCAGTGAAAGTGGTTCTTACAGCAGCGTCCAGTCCCGCTTTCGCCCCTCGGCGCGCCTCACGCGTAGTAAGCGATGCTTGGGCCCACGCCCCTTGTACCCCCCCTCCCTGTTCTTCTTTCTCTCTAGTCTCCCCTCCTCGTCCCCCCCCCCCAAAAAGATTCCCGTTTCTTTCTTCTCCTCATCCATTCTTCCCCTCCCACCCCCTCCCCTCCCACCTTCAACACCCCCCTCTTCCTCTCTTCAACCTCGCGGTACCTAACGCTCATCCGCCTTTCCTTTCAAGAGCGCTCCTTTGCTTTAATTCTTTGTCCGCCTGTGGCTGGACTCCCACTTAATTCCACTTCATTATCCCGCTCCCCCCCACACAAGGAATGATCAGACATCCCAACGAACTCCTGTCTTCGACACGCTTACAGAACCGGTGCGAGCTCACTCAAGGGACCATACCGTCGACTTCGTTTCCGTACTCCGCTTGATACGACTCGAGCTCGACGCCCACATGGCTCCCTCCGCTCCCGGAACCGCCAGCAACTCGCCGGCCAAAAAGACCTCAGCTCCGGAGAAAAAATACAAGTGTCAATTTTGCAATCGCGCCTTCAGCCGCAGCGAACACCGAAGCAGACATGAGCGTTCTCGTAAGTTTCGCGCAAATCCCACGCGTCGCCTATCTTCCCCCCTATGTTTTCATCTGACTGACTTCGACCAGACACCAAAGAACGACCCTTCAAGTGTTTGAAATGCCGCAGCACATTCGTCCGTCGTGACCTTCTTTTGCGCCATGATCGAACTGTTCACGCCAAAGATGGAGGAGTTCCTCTGGTTGCAGAGGGCCGCAGACGCGGTGGAGGTGTTCAGAAGCCCTCATCAGCAGGATCGGGCCCTTCAAAGCCTTCGATCACTATTGATCCAGCTACGCTAGAGCAGATTGAGGCAAGCAGTGATGGTATGGTCGACCTTGAAACTGCAGCTATGTTGATGACAGATTTCCAACATAAGGCTGCAGCAGCGGCGACTGGTCAGGTTTCCGAACGCTCCGAATCGCTTTCCCCTGGTCGTGGCTCGTTTGATCCCTACCTATCTGGCAACGCGACCCTGCCCCAGATGCCTTGGGACACTCTCGTTTCCCCCGTGGATAGCACCTCGATGCCTACTCTCGTTGACCGCCACGGGCCCGTCGGCGATGTCCTTCTGTCCAACTCGATGCCCATGTCTGGAAACTCAACTCCTAACGCGTTGTCCCCGTATCCCTCCATGACTGGACCCGTTAGTCCGGTGAACTACCGCCGCTCTCCCGGCCCTAGTCAAGCATTGACCCTGCCAAAGGCCCCTCAAATTGCAGATGATATCGAGCGCAATCTTTTGGTAGAGAGCGTCCAAGACGCTGATCATCTTGGTGCCCTCCCAGACACTTTCCAGCTGCCTGCTACTCTCTCATTGAACAGATACTTGTCTACCTATTTCAATCTGTATCACCCGCATCTGCCGTTCCTGCATCAGCAATCATTCAACCCGATCACTGTGTCGCCCCCTTTGCTGCTCTCCGTCCTATCGATCGGCGCTCTCTACACCTTTGAGCGCGAGCAGGCTTTCATGCTCCATGTCGGGTCGAAGGTATTAGTCAACCAGTTTCTTCAGCACAAGGACAACTTCGACTCGCGCAAGTGCCCTCTGTGGCTCATGCAGAGCAGCCTGTTGAACATGGTCTTTGAGAGCTGGTCTGGTGACCCCAAGGGACTTGAGTGGACCTGCTCCATCAAGAGTCTTCTGGCCAACATGGTTGCCGGTAACCGCTACCAGCTCAAGGTTCGCACCGAGGCACGCCAGGGCATCCAGCCATCGCGGGAGGAGTGGATCGAGGATGAGTCGTGCCGCCGCACCTACTTCGCGGTGTACATTTTCTTTGGCATGCTCACCTTGACTTTCAATCACACCCCCGCCATGAGCTTCGATGAGTTCGACACTTTGGAACTTCCTTCATCTGAGTCGCTCTGGAATCTCGATGCCTCTGATGAGGAGACCTGGCGCCGCGCCTCAATCTCAAGCACCTTAACTGTTCGTGAGGCACACGACTTCCTTTTCCAGGGCGAGCAGACTCGCTACAGCGCCTTCGCTACCCGTGTCTTGATCAATGCTCTGTTCCTGCAAGTCTGGAACCACAAACGTAGCTTCGAGGCCCTGCAGGATGTCGTCACTGAGTACAAGCTCCGCTTGGCTTTGGAGACCTGGGAGAGCTCTCTGGAGGTGTGTGAGCCAGAGACCATCGTTGTCCCTCTCAGTACCCCCCAGAAGGGCCATCCTCTGATCTTCAACTCCATGGCCGTCTACCGCAACACGCGCGCCCGCCTGGAAGTTGACCTGAAGTCCATCCAGGAGGCCATGCGGTACCACTCCTCCTACGAAGTGGCGGCCGCTATGACTGTTGCCCGCGAGAAGGTTAAGCGTTCCCAGGAGATGAACAAGGTTGTGCAGCAATGCTTCGAGTGCATTGAGATTGCTGCCATCCAGGGCATTAACTGGGTTGCAAAGACCTCCGCCACCAACTGGAGTGTCGAGCACCCTCTCTGTGGTCTTGACCTGATGGTCATTCTCAGTCTCTGGCTCTATCGCCTGGAACATGACGAAGAGCCAGCCACCGAGGCCGAGATGGCCATCTACAACAAGGTTCGCAATCTGTTTGATGACGATGCCATCGACGCCTTTGGCAAACTCAGCAGTACTGTCGCCCGCGTATGGGGTAATATCCTGGACGGCGTTGTTGTTTGGGGGTAAGCTTCTAATCATTCCCTCAGTTTTCTTTGAATCCCGATACTAACACGATTTCGTAGAATCACCAAACTGATGGGCGAATCATTCAAGCTCCATTCGCAAGCTCTTGTCGGCTACGAAGATTCTCTGCGTGTCGCAAAGGATCAGCCGATTCACGCCGTGTCCACGAAGTCGCTCGCCAGCGTCGGAACGGCCTATTAACTACTTCCGGACTTTCCTTGACTCTATTTTTTTTTATTTGATCGCATCTCCTTTGTCTGAAACGTCTTTACTTTGTTTTCGGGCTCTTCTTACTCTCATTTGCTGGACGCTTTATTGGGACACTTGGGAAACTCAGGAATGGTTTATTACCATTGGATAGGTGGGGTGTTTTGTGGTCATCGTTTACTCGGCCATCATTGCCGCCTGGAGGTGTGGTTCCTGATTTTCTTGCTTATTCTGCCTGGGTTGCATTCATACCCTTCCCTCGATTTATTACACCAGGGAGTCCGGTGCGGTGTTTTTCTGTTTTTGACCCTTTCCTACAACACCCGGCTGGTCCTGTGTGTTCTCGCACTCGGTGGAGTTTTACTGTTTTTCTCATTAGCCCCTAATTGTGCCCCCCTTCCTTTCGTCCATCTGCTTACCTTTGATCTCTTGATACCTTTTGACATTTCTTGCTGCGTTCTATTATTTTTTCTTTGCTTTGGATTTTATTTTCTCTTTTCCTTTTCTTCGTTTTTTTTTTCCTACTTTGATCTCGACAGTTTGATTCTCGTGGCCGGGCTTGCCTGGCCGCTGTATTTGATGTTAATTGCATGTCTCTTTGCCCCCGTCGTGCAAACTGCTTTGATTTATCTCGCTCAGCATTGTTTCGCGCCGTTTTTGCTTCCATCTGCACATGTTTTGATGCCTTTGTCTATGTACTATACGTAATCGATGAATACATTTTTTTTCGGCGGGGATATGATCTATTGTGGTTCGTAGTTTGTAGCTTCGTAGACCTAGTCTCTATTCCCTAGATATGCAACAACTTCAAAGCATAGGAACATCTAAAATCATCGCTTCATTCATGGGCCACTTTTAAGTCCCACGGCTTGGCCTACAGCCACCCTCCCTCTATTCAATATAGGAGGGATCTCTACTTTCCAAGAGCAACAAACAGTCGATCTCCAATATCCCCCACTCCCGGCACAATCATTCCCTTCTCATCCACAGCCCCATCCACACCTCCCATCCACACCTCCACCCCTTCCCACGACGCCGCCGCCCTCTTAACTCCCGCCTCCGAACCAAGAATACTCACCAGAATAATCTTCTGCACGCCCCAATCCTGCAGCAAGTGGATCGCCGCCTCGGCCGTCGCTCCCGTCGCAATCACCGGGTCAAGCAGCACGGCCAGCGTTGCCGCGGCGGTGTTGATCGTCGGGTCCAACGAGGCGGGCGATGCGGGGCTGAGCTCGGAGGAGTGGAAGGGGAGGTTATTGTAGTATTCTACGGGCTGGAGGGTGACGCGTTCGCGGAAGAGGCCGAGGTGGTAGATTGGGACCGGGGTTGGGAGGAGGGCGTTGAATGCTGGTGGTTGTTAGTTGGGCGGTTGCAAGATGGGTGGAGCAGTCGTAGGGAACGTAGCAATGGGGGGGGGGACATGGGGGGCGGAGGTGGGAGACTTGTGATCCTACCTTCGACCATGCCCAGTCCTGAGCGAAGGATGGGCACCAGGGCCAGGTCGGCGGGGTCGATGCCTTGGGTCTCATATTCGACGCCGAGAGGGGTTGTATCCTGGTCTTTTGTGAGTCTGAGGGTTCTTGTTTACGGGGATTGCCGGAGTGGGACTCGGTGGGGGGCCGGGGGCGATGGAGCGTCCGTGGATCATTCGTAATACAATGGAGATTGTAGATGGGGGGTGGATTGCATGTGGACGGACCTTTCCTGTCTTCAATGGCTTTAATCCGGTGAAAGCTTCCACGCCGAGGATGTTGGAGATCTCGTGGACGAGCGCCTTTGTCTCGCGCGGGGAAGTGGAGGAGGAGCGCAGCTGGGAGAGCTTGGCTTGTAAGCAGGGGTGGGAGGAGACGTGGACGTTGGAAGGGAGAGTCATGATGAATTGAGGAGGAATAGAAGAGGAACTTCAAGTTGAAGGGGAAAGCTGGTTCAAGAAGAGGGGTTAGGTTGTTATCTGCAGTGCGACCTTATCTCCCTTGCGTATGTCTTCCCCGCTATTCTTGCTATCTCGTGCGGGCCAGACTCCCGTGGTTCGTCCATGCTTTTACTAACCGGATACTTTCAGGGGCATGTTGGGCTCTACTCTATGTCCTGCGCATCTGCGCAGTAAGCTAGGACTATCCGAACGGAGGAGTTATACTTATCAAGTCTCAACTTCACCATGTACCATTATGCTTGCTAAAAGGCATACTGGGGTTTTATAGATGGAAATTGATGAGTATCATAGAGTATGTAGTAGTAAACTGAAAGCGTCGTTCCACCTCTGGAAACACATTCCTCGATCCATACAGTAGACCTGGAAGCTCTTTATCATGAGTACTAACAAGAATACTGAAGTGATTAAAAAGGTCCCGCAATCTGCTTTCGAGGACGTATCATTATCCATCAATGAGACGTTCCTGACCTTGTCATTAGTATGAACGTGAGGAAGAGCGTTCTCTGAATGTTCCTTGTCTGTCGATAGCAAGGCTTCTTCTCTCCCATCTTGCCTCGGATATCTGTCCACATTCATACTGGTATCCTACTCATGGTCACACAGAAGACACCGAGGCTCCGGGTTGATTGACCTGGCCATGACCAACCTCCAAGTATTCCAGGGGGAGAGCGGACTGTCATCGATAAAGGCACATCCTGCTCAGCCCAAGTCTGGGGGCATTTGAGTTTACGGGGTCACCCCATTGGAATTCCCGAATCCACTTCCTACACCGTTAATTTTCAACTATAAATGACCTCTTGCATCTTACCGACGAAAATGTTAATCGCATCGATCATATGATGGTACTCGCATTGGCTGTGTTTTTGAGGGTAAGTGGGCTGAAAAGGACCTAACTGGTTGGATGCGGGGCAGGGCAGGGTCATGGAGCCAAAAGTTGGCGACGACTCCCATCAAATGCCTTCGTAGTATAACGGTTAGTACGTCGGTCTCATACGAAACTTGCGATGACGCACCTGGTAACAGGAGTGACATCCGAAGACCCCAGTTCGATTCTGGGCGAGGGCATTTCATTTTTGGAATTTTTTTGGAGCTGGTCCATTCGGCCGAATCAGTGGATCTTAAGTCTTTTCAAGGTTTTCTGTGGAGCACAGGACGGGCAGAGTCGGGGCTGCCAAGACAAAGCAGCCCTTTTCAAAGAACCGCGTAGATGCATCAAGCCCTTCGTATCGTGGCTTATCTTATACTTGATATGAGGATATACTATATCGCAAACAGATAAGAGAGGCTTGTATACGAAGTTACAGAGCATACAAATGATCACGTGGATGAGTAGGACTACCTAGACAACCACAACGCCACTTATAGACGCGGAGTATTTCAGTAGTGTTTATGGGTACACATTGTTCGAAGTCTCGGAAGCCCTACAAACATCCACCAGACAGCCATCATTCAAAACATCCCGTTCGCCTGCTGAGCTCCCATAACCGGAGACACATAGTCCCGACGTCTAGTCACAAAAATCTCCGTGGCAATGGGAATAATTGTCTCCGGAAGACTTCCGGTCTTGACCTGCGTCACTCCAGGCATACCCTCTGGCTGAGAGTACAGACTGGTACCGCAGTCTATGGCTGTCAGCGTACGGGATTTGTCTAAGTCGGCAAGCCTACGAAGATGAGCTTGCCTCCGCAAAGGAAAAGACGGTGTTTCTTGCCAGAAAGTCCAATTCGGGCACAGCTTTTGGGTATCCCTTTGGTGACGTAAAACCGCGCGGTCGGAACAACGACATTAGTTGGAAAATGCGCTGCCGCCCCATTTCTGGCAATCTGTGCAGTGGCATAGGACTGTCATGGCAGGTTCGCCTACGTTCAGGATGTGAGCACATGAAATAGCCTCGCACAGTGCAGGGCAATAGCAGGGGGGCGTACTAGAGAATTGGAAGAACACATTGCCACAGGCACAGCTTCCGGAATCAGGCATATCGGCTCTAATTCGTGAGATGGTGGATTGTTAAGCGCTGCTTGACTGATGGAAGGAAAAAAGATGGGCCCAGGGAGGACTGTGTTCACTTATTTATGCTGGTGATGTATGATTCCACATTATGGACAGGGAATCGAGCTAAATTATTTCCAAAGAATGGCTTACGCTGATAACTTTCTGGATCATGCGGATCCACTCAGTCTGGCATTTTGTTGTCTGAGCACGGTGACCATGATAAATGAAGAGAGAAAAGAAAAGATATATTCATAGGTGGTAACTTGCGGTTTGCATCGACCTAAAACTTACTTGCAAGCCTCTTCCAGCAGGTCTTCGAAGATCTGTTCTTCTATAAGTGCACCAAACCTGCCATCGTGATCAGATAAATGACATGTTCCGCTGTACTGTTCGAACTATGTCAGGTCCACTCACCCATAACATTTGACATACGGAACCATTGCACACCTCAAGGCCTCCAGCTTCTCAAGCGGCAGGTGGGGAAATCCCAAGCGGGAATTGATCCGGTTCCACGCCTGCACAGGCGTGATGTATCCCTCCAGACCCAGCGACCCAGAAAGTTCAAATAGCTTAGCCAACTGTTGGGCAGGAACCTCCCATGCAGTCTGATCGTGTAGGTCTTCCGGGGCTCTGGCAAGGAGCATTCCTTGCATGGACATTGCATGGCCGGACGGTTCATCGGTATCTGGAGCGCGAGTGTGAAACAGGCAAGGTCGTTCCAGACTGCCAAATCAGGGTCTGTGATAGAAATAATGAATTCAAATGGACACTCACGATAGAACAAAGTCAACGCCCATTTGTATGAAGTTGGGCGTGTGGGCGTAGCTGGATTCGTCACTGGAGTCGGTCAGCATGCCCCGTGAAACAGTCGAATTTACTTGCTTATGATCTTACCTTGCTTGACCCATTTGGAGTTGAGGATTACCCAATCGCCCCAATGGAGCATGCATATCCGGATACGCAAGTTCATGTCCATTGGCACACGGTTGTGAAGCAGTGTGGGACGATCCATGGTCATACTCGGGCATTTTCACTTGCAGGAACTGATGATGGCCATCATCGGTAAAAAACGTCACCTCGGCCAACGAAGGCCTTTGTGGCTTCATGCCGACGGGCAATGGGATTGAATGGCGGATCATAATGTCCCGAAGGACTTCATTTTCATAACGAAGCCCCTGGAGCTCGTCCGCTTCAGCGAGTAAACCATAAAGCCGATGAAGCTCATCTTCAAGGGCCCGGCACCGATTCTCATGTCGTTCCCTATGCTTCCTGGCGGCGAGAATAGTTAGTCCAGGTTGAGGGCATGCCGTTCAGTGACGACTGACTTTTGAGCTCGTCGCACTTGCTCGCGCCGTCGATCATAGGCGGTTTTAGACTTTCCGTCCTGCGCGGCACGTCTGTAATGCCCTCCACCTCCAGGCTGAGGATCTGGCTCCGCAGTTTCAGGCGACCCGGCCATTGACCACGGAGAGATGTCTTTCTGAAGGTGTGGAATCGTACTAGCAAGTATCCAGGCTTGCACGGACTATCTTTCCGCTAACACGCATTGGGTGGGGGTCTCATTATATTCAAGGCTGAGCCCAAAGCTGAAGCTGAGAAGACACATCGCACATAGTGAGACAGTTGATCCAGGCTCGAGTTGCCACTCGTTGATCTCGCGCTGTCATTCGCGATCAGCATTTGATTGGTCTGTCAGGCTGGCCGGGTCAGAATATTTGCCCAATAACCATGGAATCCAGATCAGTCGAATGTGGGGCCGCGCCGAATGATTCCAAAGCAAATGATTCCAAACTTGTGGAGCTCCAACCTAAAAGATTCCATACAGCATCCACATTATTGCGCATCTGGGATTAATATGGAGCTTCCTATATGAGCAACTAACCTCGCATCCCTCAGGAATTGGACTTGTCCTCTAGCGTTCTTCCTGGCAGCTAAACAATATCTACCCATCTCATACCTTCCCGGTTTCGAGCCTACAATTCGTTGTCTTCGAAACAGCTACACCCATTTCTCCGAAAGACGGGATAATGGCCTCAAAAACCATTCTAGATACAATCGGGAACACTCCACTCCTGGAGCTGCGCCATGTCATCCCGCAGAACGGGGCCCGTATTCTGCTCAAATAGAGAGTCAGAATCCAACGGGAAGCATGAAGGATCGCATGGCGTTGGCCATGATCTCGGCCGCAGAGGCTGACGGACGCCTGCAGCCTGGAGGCGCTGTCGTGGAATACACAGGAGGCAGTACGGGGGTGTCGCTAGCCCTCGTCTGTGCCGTAAAGCAACGCCCACTCCATCTCGTCTCGTCGGACGCCTTTTCGAGCGAGAAACTAGACCACATGAAGCTCCTTGGCGCCAATCTTACCATCCTACCCAGCGAGAACGGTAAACAAACCGAGAAGCTCACGAAAACTATGATCCGCGAGGCACATCGCATTGCGGTGGAGACCGGGGCCTATATCACAGCCCAGATGGACAACACCGATCAGCTTTCGGCGTACACCAGCCTCGCCGAGGAGATCTGGGAGCAAACAGGGGGTGCCATCGACGGATTCGTGCAGAGTGTTGGCTCGTCTGCATCGTTCCGAGGGACCTCCGAGGCTCTGCGGCAGCGGGCAAAGGATATCACCTGTATTGCGGTTGAGCCGGCGGAATCAGCTGTCCTTTCCGGAGGTCCGTCTGGGTCGCATAAGATTGATGGCACGGGGGCCGGCTACGTTGTGCCTCTGTGGTATGACGGAGTAGCGGATGAGATCGAGCGTGTCTCTACTGATGATGCTCGGGCAATGGCATTTCGTCTTGCGAGAGAAGAAGGTTTGTTTTGCGGGACTTCGACCGGGGGTAATGTTATCGCAGCGCTGCGCCTGGCAGAGCGCTTGGGACCCTCTGCGACGATTGTGACAGTGATGTGTGATACCGGGATGAAGTACCTGAAGAATTTCTCTCAAGGACTTAGTCAGTGACCTACTACCACCGGTAGTAGGGGATTTCGGTACTCGAGTTCGGGTCGAGTGGGGGGGGCGCTCTTGCGCATGTTCAAGTGATTAAGAACCTAATACGTGCCGTGCAGCATTTAGTTGTTACATACAAATTACCTCGTGTTTTGTAGGTCTGAGACTCCTACACGAAACGTGAAGAGAAATATAGTGCCCAGGTCTTCAGGTCAGTAAAACCGCTAAGGCCATGCATCCCGTGGATATTTTTGCACTGCCCTTGACCGGGCTGTAGGGCGGACGCACTGGTTTCCAACCACTGGTGCGTCCGCTTCATGCACGGAGCATGAGTTTCAAGGAAAGATAAGGAACCAGGCTCAGCCGAGCACGGTTTCAATGAGTCGTCTTACGCAAGCCGTCTTGACCCCTCCAGGGCTCCCGAGCTAGCGACATCTCTCATGACCATAAGCATCACGGTCCCAAGGCAGCGGCATACAAGGCATCGCATGAAGTATGTGGCGCTGCCCCTCAGAGGATCTGCAACAGTCCGGGAGTCGTGGAGCTGCCAAGGCCCGTGGCCGCTCGGATTGCGATCAGTCAAGGACCACGTCCGATCACACAATGATCGGCGTTATACAAGCGGCAGCGAGAGGCTTGACGCCAACTCACCGGACATGATAATCTTATCTTCGAAGTGTTTTCCAGGGTCAGGATCCGACCGTGGGCGCTTCGTAGGATCATGATTCCCCCCAGGGAACAGAAAGCCTGAACGGTCTTGGCTGCATGGGCTAAATTTATATGGGCGGGATGTGGTAAGACATGGGAAACTGGAAATCAGCCTGAAGGCGGGGTTTGCCTGCAGCAGGCACGTTGGCGCGCCGACGGCGATGAGGTCACGGGCGACTGGCTTTTTGGGATTGTTTTGCATTGAATCGAATCTAGTTGGCCAAGTTCATGCGCCGTTTTCTTGGTCCAGTGCCGTCTTTTATGGAGCGGGTGGGTCTGCTCCGAGGGACCAGATCCTCTGAGAGCTCCAGCAGCTCCCACAGCTCCCATTTCACTAAATGGGGTTGAGGCGCACAGAGGCAGAGGTAGATGGATATGAATTAAGGTGCTTCTTTTCTTAGAATAGCCGCATAGCAGCTTAGGAGCTGGCAGCTGGCAGTGCCGGTGGCGAAGAAGTAAACAATCTCCCCTGCGCCAAAAAAGATAGAAAGGCGCCCCGACCGCCAATCAGCACGCGCATATTGGGATGGTCCCCACCGCGAGTCCCTGACTTTGGCTTCCCGCGTTTGCCAATCAACGGCCGCCCTCCGTTTCATTAATTTCGGTGCCTTTTTTTTAAATCTCCTCCTTCCACCCCCTGGGCGAAAGGTGCTAGCACTAGAGAAGTCTCTCATATCCTTCGGGCTGTTGTTAGGGATTTCCCAGACTGGCTAGTTGTGCACCTGGCTATCAAGTGAGGCGCGAAACACACCACATTCGGCCCCCTATTCGCCCAGGCGTCCCCAACCACCGTGCAAGGCAGAAAAGCTCGAGGCTGGATTGTCCCTATATAGCCAGCGCTCAACCCTGCGGAGCTTAAAAAGCCCCTTCTGGTCGTTCGAAATCGATCATTAACGCCGAAAAGCTGTTGCCTTGTCAAACTCGATCCTTGAAACCCCGACCCGCTTTCTTGGCGTTGCTTGTTTGAAAGTCGCGTCCGAGCCCTCCCAAAACTCTAGCCCAAAATTCGATCCTAGAGCCTTGCATCGCAACTTGGTAAACCAGACGAAGCACCATGAGGCCGATTGTCTTGCTCGTCTTCCTCGCGCCGGCGGCCCTCGCCGGACCACAGCTGCGCACCCGCGATCTCTCCCCTGAAGTCTCCCTCCCAGCTCCAGCATCAATACCAGAAGTTGTCCCAAAGGAGGAATTGTCTATTGCGGATGTGCAAGACTCGCTCTCAAACCCACAGAGCGCACACAAGCTCCTCCGGGTGCGCAGCGAGGGTAGCTTGGGCCAAGCGCCGTGGATTGGGATGGCCATCGGTCTGACCTGCACAGCCCTGACGGCGGTGATGTTGGGCTGATCCACGCGCAATCATATATTTGAAAGGCTACTTCTACCTTTTTCCTTTCCCACTTCTCTTCAACTTCGACCTACCTTCTCGACACGTGAATACGCAACCATACTTTGAATGTTTAATTCGGCCGTCTGCCGGCCCTTGACTTCTTCTTCGGCGAACTTCAGCGACCTTGATTATTTTCTGACTTTTGTTTTTCACTGCATCCACTGCCCCTGATGTCGGGGCCATGGGGATCTTTTGATCATCTTACCACTTACACTCCCCTACTGTCGGACTGAGGGAGTATAGAGCTGTACATGATACCACTGGAACACGTGTGAATATCCGGAACAACTTATTTAATTGGGAGACGTACATAGAACAAATTCATAACACATTCAATATCCTGAATTTGACCTCGACTTTAACCTCGACCTTGACCTGACCTGACCTCGACCTCGACCTCGACCTTGGAGTGGTATAGTATAGTTCCTTCGGATGAACCTCTTTCTCGTAAGTTAATGGTATATTTACGACCACTCATTCAACCACCACTCACTATTCGAAGCAGCCAAAATTACTATTACACTAGCGATGCAGACCATTCTAGCTGGTCTTCAACCCGATCTGCAGCCCCCATCTCAGCGTCAGCGGAGAGATGAACGGCCCCCAACGGCGCCCTCATCTCCAGACCCAACTCCACGCCCTCTCCACTTCTTCGCGATCAAACCCCAGACAAAACTAAGGGTCATCTCCATACCAAGGAAGTATCTCTGCTCAAAAGAAAGGCTGCAAGATCCAATGCACCACCATGGCCATCAACCCGGACGATGTAAACTACACGCCCCCATCCTCCGTCGGCCGCGAAATAGGCATAATGTTCGCCTTCATCGGCGCATTCCTGGTGACGGTTGTCCTCTACGGACTTGCGTGGCGGAGTAAGTAACCTATTATGGACCTATCCACCCCGTCTGCCCTCTATACTTCTCCCTTCACCAACTTGGAACCTCCGCACTCCTCAACCCCGCGAACCCATCTCCAACCCACGCCCACAGGCTAACCCAAACTCACCAACGCAGTCCACCAAAATCGCACTCACAAGGAAGACATTGCCCACCGCAAAGCCTTCCTTAGCCGGATCGCCCCAACGGCTAACTCGTCCTTGGACTTCGACAGCTCGCTCGGCACGACGGCCACCGTGACTGCCGGTAGCCACAACAGCTACACCGCGGTCCCGGTATCTTTCCAGCGGGCGCGCGCGCACGAGGTTGTCTTTGATCGGTACGGGTCTGTGGGGAACCGCGCCGAGTTACCGGTGCACAGCCGCGAGGTGTCGGATGCGGACAAGGAGCGGATAAGGCAGAATGTGAGTGTCAGTGAGTTGCCGGGGGCGCGGTCGTCGAAGCCTACTGGCAAAAGGCCGGCTGGGAGGGGAATATAAAAGGAAGATGGAAAGGGCGGGAGTAAAGAGACCGGGGATAGATTCGTGTAACTATCCGTAATTAGGGTTTCTATACAAAGAGAAAAAAAAAACATTGAGGTCGCACTTCATCCGCAGACCGGATCCTCGAACCCGCGCGTCCAGAGCAGCGAGCCCATAATCACGACCAGCAAGCCCAGCCCGACGGAAACACTGGTGATCCCGTAGAAGTAGGCGTGTTTTCGCCTCGCCAGGCCGTTGAGCTCAGCAACCCACGTACTGACAGTCGTCAAGCTGCCGCAGAACCCATCCATCACGCCTTGCAGCACCTGGCAGCCGGTCAACGCGGCGGGAACGACAGCCCCCAGTCCACGGACATGCTGCAAGTCGTAGCACATGCCTTCGACCACAACGCCGAACATGTTCACCGCGAACGTCCCCAGCGGAAAAGCCGGCACCCGCGCATTCAGCAACAGCGAGACATAGAACCGCGCCAGACAGCCCAGCGGCGCAAACACGATGGCAAACACCGCCCGCCCGCGCCATGTATCCTGGCCCTCGTGGCGGTCCGGCGGCCAGATAGCCAAGAACACGGCGCCAAGCCAGCACCCCCAGCCGAGGACGACGGCGACAGGATCGAGCACCCGGCGCGTAAACCTGAAGGGCAAGGTAGGCAGGAACGGGGACACGGCGAGCGCAAAATGGCCACCGAATACCAGCGCCGACAAGCTCAGCGACACGGTGACCAGCAGGACAGCCAGCAGCGCCATGAAGCTGTAGCCGCCGTTGCGGGCCGCATTGGCAGTGCCAGCCGGCAGCGAGGGGTCCGGGAGGGCATTTGCCAGGGCAAGAAAGACGTCGCGGATGAACGAGGAGAAGGAGGTGCAGCAGCCGCAGAAGCCCGTCGTCACGCCGATGTATAACGGGATGGTCTTCTTCGTCGCCTTGTGTTTCTTCGCGTGCTCAGCCGCGTCCTCGGCGTCGCTGGGCGTGGGGCCTGCACAGTCCCATTCCTCACGGAAGAGGGCCTTGTCTTCGATCATGAAGCCCATTACCAGGCTCCCGGCGACGTTGGCCCATAACACGCCTGTGACCACTGGCGCGCCTTTGTAGGTTGTGAGGGCCTGCAGACCAAGGCGCGCCAGGGTGCCGAGAATTGCGAAGAAGATGAGGTAGGAGACTGTGTATAACTGGGTTGCGCGCGCGGAGAGTTGCGGTTTAGAAGGGGCTGGTGTTGAGCTGGACGGCCCTTCTTCGGCTAAGGGCTGGCTGTTGGGCCATTGTTGCCGGCTGGAGGGGGTGGGAGATGCGGGTTGAGGGGCAGTGGTTTCCGTTAATGGCAGTTCGTTTTCTTTCTCGGCGCTGGCGTCGAGAGCCATGACTGGCAGCTCGAGGCGAGCTGCGCAATTTCTTGGGAGTGTCGAGCGGCTGATGCAAACCAGATTCGATCGCGCGCGGATAAGACCCGATAAGAGATAAAAGATAAGTGGACTGCAACTATGCTTGGGACTTATTGATTTTGAATATCTCTGAATTCGATTGGAATTCCGCATATGTCTGCTGACTGTTGATATTCTCGTGTCGACTTATAGCTGACTGGACGAACTTACAAACTGCTCAGATTACGGTTATGCTTATATAAACTATATCTATGAGGCGCTGCCGTACGTTCCACAGCTTCTAGACGAACTGGTGATCCTTGCATCTCTTTGATAAGCATGAAACTGACAGCAGGTCCCGCTTGTCGATGCTACAATGCCGAGTGGCAAACGGTAGTCAACTGAAGGCCGCATTGTATCCCCCCCATTTCCAATATGGCGCCGGAGACCAACCTGCGAATAAAGATAAACTTGAAGCGTCCTGCTTTGAACCTCAATGGGAATATCATGTTTGATCTTTCGACAATATCTCTAATCACCGATTTTGTATTCATTTCCGGCGTTTGTCTGCACATATAACGACCCGAAAACCTTGGATATCCTCTATGCACTATTTTGAACCCAATGTTTAATCCATCTATTGCAACGCCTTCATCTCCTTGACCCGATCTTCGAAAATCTTCTGTGCATCCTTCCAGACAGGCTCAGTGTCCCGCTTGTTGAGAGCCAGCAGGCTCTCCAGCAAAGCACCAGCGAACTCGTCGCTCGACTCGCGAGCAATCAGAGTAGGAAGATGATCGATCGCAACAACACGGACCTCGGGTCCAGGAATCTCGCGAGCGATAGGAACAGTAGGGTTATTGAACGAGCTGTAAGTCGAGTAAACAGGAATAGGGTTGTTTTCGCTGTTAGGATCGCAGCTGACATCGCAGATAACGCGCAGGCGGCGCTCCGGCCCAGACAGAGCCTCAAAGGTAGTGAAAGGGGGAAGCTTCTGGGTCAGGTAGACACAGTTGACGAAGATGTCGGACTCGGCAATTTCGGGGAATGGGCCGCCCTTGGCAGTCTCGTCCATGTCCCACTGCAGAATATCCTCGAGGCCGGCGTCGCTAGCGAACTTGACAGCCCCGCTGCCGCAGCGGCCCTTGGCGCCGATGACGATGATGCGGGGCTTCTCGTTCTTGTTGGCGGCGATGGCCCCCTGAATAGCGTCCTTGACGTAGGTAACCAGCTCGGGGGCTGAGTTGAAAACGGGGACGGGGCCTTGGGGAGTGCCGGGGTTCAGGATCTGATGGGCCCAGGACAGGAGGGCGATGGCAGTACCGGCATAGCCGGCCCAGTATCCAAAAGCAGCAACACGGCGGCCATTCTTCGCGAGGAATTCGAGGTCGTAAAGCAAGCTACCCTCTTGGAAGCGCGCAAGGGCGGCTTCCCAGCCGTCCTGCTTCTTGAAACAGTGTTGGAAGTGGATGAAGGTATGGTAAAGGGGAGCTGGGAAGCAAATTGAGTTAGCCAGGAGTTATACTGTCAAGAAATAGGCACACATACTGCCATCGTCGGGCAGCTCCTTTAATCCCAGGATGATGGTGGTGTCTTTGTCTGCGTTAACCCATGATCCGGGCTCGACCAATGTAGCGCCAGCAGCGACAAATTCTTCGTCATCGTAGATGCGGTCTGCGGACTTCTCAACTAAGATTTTATAGCCGGCCTTGATGAGGGTCTCGGCGGTGGAGGGTGACACTGGTTCTGTTAGCTTTTTGCTTCAATTGGGTTAATGTAATTGGCGCATACACGGAGAGCGGCGCTCCAATGGCTTTGTCTCAGCCCGGAGATGGATAATTGGGAATGACATGGTTGAAATTGAACTTGAAACAGAGCGAAACGAGTTCCAAAAGTAGAGAGAATTGCCCTGACCGCGTCGTAAATTCGTGTTTTAAATTCGTCGAGTATGAGTCAAGAACGGTCTTAACTAATCACCCCACGAAGATTATTGTGGGGCGGATCAACGTAAATGCGGCGGTCCCAACCCGATATCGCAATCGCGATAAAGTGTGGAAATCTAGTATTTTCTTACGAGACGAGAGCTGCCATAAGGGTTGTTGAACACGTTTCTGAGGATATAGGATTATGGTATAGCAGACAGAGCCCATGTAAGGTGAATCTCATTCTCTTCTTCTTGGAGTGGACCCACCATCGGTAGATCAAAAATTCTATGTGTATCGGACGAAAAAGTCGCTCCTTCCGTCCATGATCACTCAAATCTTACATGGAATGAAGAAGCTCATCTAGTCTCTGTTAACCTGATCAATGCGGTTTAAAGCAGACTGCGCCTCATGGATCAGAGCCTTTCGTGCATTGCGAACATCGACATTGCCATCAGGCTCGATCCCATCAGCCTTGAGCATGATCTGGGCCAGAATAGTCTCACTAAGCTTGCGGTATTCATACTCACGCTTCTTAGGATCTGTCGGGGGGTTGGCTAAGTAGTCGTCACACATAGGAATCAGCACTCGCTGAAGGTATCCACTCAAAGCAGACACCTGCTCCATGGCAGTAGGGATTTGTTTAAGGTTGGGTGGCGGTGGCGGAGTAGAGGATGGGGTGGGAGTCGACGCAGGTCGTGGTGGGAAAGCAGGGGCTTCTTGGGGAGGGGCCTTGTTCTTCTTATTCTTCTTGCCACGATTTCTGTTTCTCTTTTTGACCGGCGCGCTGTCGGCCTCGTCCTCCGGGTCTCCTACTTGGGAGGATGAGGACCCTGGGCGGGCACTTGCAGCATCGCCATCAGAAACGTCACTCGAGGTACTCGCGCCCACTTCGGAGACTACACATAGCACCTCTGAGTGCTGTTTGAGACCCTCGGCTTTGCATGACCGACTATCGTCCTTTAACAGGTTTCCCTTATACAATAGTCGGACTCGATCGGGATTGCCAGCCCCGGTTTGGGCGGCAGCCTCTTGGCGCAACGCGCCCACCGTCAGCAAGCCGTCGTCGATGGCATACGCGCGGAAGCGGAGAGGGTAGATGGTACCACGGTGTCTTAGACAGATGACATCCGGCTCGTTCTCGTCGACACCACCATCATGTTGGGGCTCATATCGTTGGGATTCGTAACGAGGAGCGTTGTAAGGAGGATCGACGATGTCGTTCGGGGTGATGTAGCTGAAATCTTCATCGTTGACCTTGGGGGCAGCAGAATAATCTCGGCGCCAGAACCCAGAGAGGGGGTTAGCCCAGCTCATCACGGCGACTGTGATTAAACCGAGGAATACGGCGATGTACACAGCCCCTGTTTGCTCGTCAACGTCAAAGGGGAGCGCCCGCGCTGCCGACCGGAGAGACGTGGCGGAATAAGTGAAAAACGGGTCCAATCGTGGGCGGAGAGATTCCAGGAATACGGGGAGGTTGTCTGTGACTTGATCGAAGTAAAGTGCGGCCTTCTCGCCCAAGGTTGATTGAGCGAGGGGCGATGGCAGAAGAGTCATGGGTCTCTGGAGGGGCAGACAGGACCAGATGGAGGTGAAGTCATGCGGTCTACCAAAGCCCCAAGAGGCTGATAAGGCGGAGAGCAGTTTTTGCCGCCCATCGCCAATGCTGAAAGGGGCGCCTTACTTTTATAAGTATTCGGCTGACAATTTATAGAGTGAGTTATTTATGGGGTTTCACATAAATTAGCTGTCAAGTAAATTTAGGTAACCCATATGAAAGGGGACGCCTGGTGCCTTGACCTCCGGTCGCTGCCTATGTACCGGCTTTCCTTATGCCCTTGGCTTTCGCTTTCCGGATTGGTGCTCCGCTTTTGCTCACTGGGTAGAACTGCGCACGCAGGCCTAGACGCACTTTGAGGTTTGAATATAGGTCCTCATCTATACTGCTAGGGGTAGCTCGTCACCTGATCGGAGCGTGTTCCTAGTAATATGAATCACTATTTCCTGAACATGTTTGTCATGCTATAATGTCAGAACAAGAAATTACTGTATAGACTCTGACTGTCGCCCATCGGACATTCCCGGTCTAACGGTATAATAACCCAGGTTCTATCCGACGTATAATATTTCTAATGTAAAAAGCATTTCTCGTTGTTGATATTCTATGGCCTGAAACGTCGCATTTTACCGAGCGATAATTGGATCGCCTTTGTCAAAGGTAAGATAATTTCGGTCTACTTTGCTTGTTCAACCACCTTCCAAGTTCAAGGATTCTGCAGAACTCTTGGATCTTTTATTCCAGTGCGAACCCCATGAAAAAAGGTTTCATTGGATACATTTTCTCATGGAGGATGTGTGACTTTGCAAAAACCTCCCAGGTATGCACCATGCTTGATTCCAATATTCTTCCCTGCTGGTCCTCTTCAGCCGAGGGTAATCTCTCCCAGAAAGTGGTGTAAAAATGTGGGATCCAAATTCGAACAGAGTTAGCATAGCAACCATGCCGCAATGGAAGATCCATATTTCTTTCCATCATGGGCTGCCTCGGCGGCCATTATGAGAGGGAGGTTCGAGAAGAACAAAGAGATGGTGGCGGGGTAAGAAGAACCTAGGTTTGGGCTTACTCGTGAAATAAAGGGAGGTAACTACCAGTAAGCTCTTACCGCAGCGAAAAAAACCACTACAAAGCACATATGAAAGGGATTTCCAATAAAACCTTGGATTAGGAAAGCTGGGTACAGTCTGACTGTGTTTTGGACTGTTTTGGACTGTGTTTTTAAGAATGAGAGCCCGGTCATGGAGCTAAACGGGCAGGGGCGCCGAAAATCTATCACATTGCATTGGAGTGTTGAAAAGGAGCGGTATGGGCTGGTACTGTCGCATGGGCGTATGCTGAGAGAAATCAAAAACGTTCGCATGATGTCGCGTTTAGGGCGTAGGTGGGAAGGTTCTTGCCAGTTGTCGCTTGATGGGATGTATGCCCATTCTCTTTGGGTGCTGGGCATCGCAGGTTGGATCCGATTCGTTCAGACTCGAGGATTCTTCTCTAGGATAAGCAGCACTGCCTTGTCGCCATGTCCCTTTACACAGTCTATCAGTTCATCTGCAATCACAGTCACCAGGCCTTCAGCCACCAGCTTCTCCGTTTCGGCCTTGAAACCGTCATCGATCCAGATTTCTCGCAGAATTGTGGCAACAACAATGCCCTTGGGCTTGGTCACCCGGACAAGTTCTCGCAGAGCTGGGTCAGGCCCAACGTGGCCAAGAGTGAAGGTACCAACACAAGAAACGATGTCATAAGTCTCGTCACGCTTGCTAATAGGCTGGTTCATATCAGCCTTGGAGAGTTCTCGATAGATCCCTGTGTCCCGGGCCACTTCAAGCATCGCGGGAGATAAGTCTAGCCCATCGATAACAACAGGACCAATGTCCTGGCCATCGATAGCTTTCGCTCCAGCAAGAACTAGAGCGCGACCAACGAGGCCTGTGCCACAACCCGCGTCCAGGACTGTGCTGTTGGCAGGGCTGTTTGCTAGCTTGAATTTGATAGCAGCCTGGGCAACAAGCATTGGGGCAACATAGTTCTGAGCTTCATCACCGACTTCCTCATCATAAGTTTTGGCCCACTTGTCGTAGATGGCCATGCAGTCCTCCGAACTGACACAGTCCCGGGCTTGGCCCAGGTATAGTTGGGGGGAAGGAGCAGGGACGGACATGATGGTCGAGTGGATGATTTGGACGGTGTTTCTGAGAGGGAAATTATTGCCAAAAGCACGTTGCCACGGTTAAATGGCCAGAGAAGCGATGGTGTTTTCGATTAATAGGCACGTCCATCATCGCACTCTTATAGTTGTGGATTCCCAGGTATATCCAAGGAAATGTCCGTCTCGCTTCGTGTAGATCTCCCCAGACGAATGGCGTGATGCGGGGTTTGGAACCAGATAACATCTCGTAAAGAAAACGATGCGACGATCCATGATGTGAGTGGATATGGAAGAGCATCGCAGATGCGCCTCCCCTTGGCCGAGGCCTGGGCCAGGGCCCGAGCGTGAGTATACAAGGGGTTGCGGCCCAGCGGCGAATTCCACCCTTCCCGTTTTTCGGCGCTGACATGATCTCATACAGCTGATTGATAGGCTCTTTCGCAAAGGTTCTCATAATCTTCTCTCATAATACCCCTCAATTACGCGTGCGTTGAGCCCGAAACTGGGTTTTAGCGAATTGAGGCCGCTGACTTGCATTCGCGGCTTTGACCTGGCCGTGGATGTACTAGTAATGAGGCCATAGAAGGATTCGCGGCAAAGTTACCTGGACTCTTGGACATGCCATTGAGATGGGTTCTAATCTGCTTGGACTTTCGCTTTCCCATCAATTTAACTGGAGTATTGTGCTCCGCAAAGCGGAATTGACTGAAATATATAAAGTCGATCAGAGACTGCTATGCGAGAAGTGGCCGTCTGTATTGGGATGACTTTCTCCGTAAGTGCCTCAGGTACAATTGTGTCTTGATCAGCCGCGAATGTGCATGTGGGCCTCGATGCTGTAGATGGTAGATGAGAGATCAGATTGATTTGAGGGCCCTGTTGGTGGCGAATGTCTCTAGCCAAAGCGACGTTGCACGCTCTCCGCATATTCTCTGAGACATTCAGGCCGTTGAATGGAAGATGCCTCTTGATGGAAGCCAATTCGAAATTTCTCGATCATTTTCATTTTCATATTCCTTTTTCCTTTCCTTTCCTTTCCTTCCTTTCTGCGCTGGAACTTCCCTCTATCTCCATAAAACTTTAGACAAAGAAATTGCCCAGATGCCAGCCTTGGAGCTTTGTGATCATCCCAAGAACCGCTCTGACAGAGGTCGGATTCTGGGAGAAGTCGTCGACTCCCCGCTGAGGGGTAACGGGGCCCATTAGACAAACTCTTCTCCAAGAGTTTCACATCTCAGATCGTGGGGATTTCAATTTGCCCGAGTTGCCCCTATTCCTATTTCGATTATAGATAGGTGGGGAAGTTCATCCACGTCATAGAGCCCCAACAACCCCACAAGATGGAAATCAAGCTCGGTGGTACCAACAATGTAATACCACACACCGTCCCTCAACAGTGGGAGTTTCCTTGTTGACATGAGCTTTACATGGTAAACCCCACTTCTAAAGTGAGCATTGATCAAAATGAAAACGATCATCTCTTATAAGATCAGCATGCGGCTTTCTCGGTTCTGTTCTCTCATAAGCTGAATCCATGTGGTGCTCTGATCTTGCTGTTCACTCGCATTGTATTCCCAAAGACACACGTACTTTTAGATGCCAGCTTCGATTCCGAGTACGCACGGCTGCTACTAGTATGAGATGGCCATTCGTGACAAAGTAATCTTAGGCTTTGATATGCTTCGTGTTCAATGTGAGCAAATGCAATGCATGTCCTTTCCCGTTATACCCCTTCTTCCAAAAGAGTCTCTCTCTTCATAACCTCTGCGATAGGCAATATGTCGGATCCCAACTTCCATAAGATATGACATTGGGGTGGTACGTCATTGATCTAGCGGGCCAAATTATGGGTCCATCGCCATGTTCCTTGCAACCGCCCTGGCATATTGAAAACCCTGATATGATATCACTCCCAGGAACAAGACATCATATCAGTTAGTATGGTACCTTTCTTAAGCCTACCCGTGCCCTACGCCTCTCATTGATTTCTCATTTTCGACCTCCATAACCATAAAATCCATTTCATAATGAACTCACTTTTCCGACTCCCATCGCGCCTCAGCCCCCCCTCTAGCGCCCTCGGTCGCAACGTCACCAACGCTTCTGCTCAGCGGACTTTGGTCCAATACACCCATCACAAATTTGCCCAAGTTGATGAGCATGACCCAGACGAGAAATGCGAGCGCACCAACAGCCCAAACCACCCAATCCCCTCGAACAACGCCCATCCTACCCTGAGAGATGGAAGGCAATCCAACCTTGCTAATATGGCGGGGGTGAAACACGAAGACCTCCCCGAAGATGTGAGGAAGCATAACGAAGAGATGGAACACCGTTACGACCGACCCTACAACCACATTGGCGACGGCGGCAAGATCGAACATGCGTTCGAGGAGAAATAGACTTTGCAAAATGAAGAGATCTCCAGGCATTCCATGTATGATATACCTACGCACTTCGTGACGCATTTCGCAATCCTCGGCGCTGTACTGGTGACTGGCAGCCGGACGAATTGCTCTACGCGGATGCTCAAACTCTCAATTGATCTTTTTGACTCATACTAGTACCAGGCACAGTTGCTGTGTCTACAAAATAGGAGTCCTAGCAAGCAACCTCCAAGCGGCGCTCAGGCTCTATCGTGCTCCGAGTTATGACATATGTCAATAGCCTGCCGGAGAATATCCGCAACTTGAAGGGAGATGCTTCTGCTTCTCCACTAATGCTCCTTCATCGTGCCGCGATCGCCAGATCACGTGTTCGAAAGCACGAAACAGATTGATTCAACTCGATTGCAGCCCGTTCGAGTTGGTCCTGCTCGTACCGCCTGTTCGTCCCTGGCGCCGATCGGCCGGACAATCAACGCACGATCCGAGTCGATCGGAAGTCAACCCCGGATGGTCTAGAACTTTTCTTTTCTGATAACAAACTTTTGTCCATCACTATCCACGGGTGTGGCCCCATGTGCCCTGGTACACACTTTCTTGGTTCACTGTGGGGCCAAGGCTTTTTGCCTTTAACCCCTTTCCCGCATATCCCGTCCTAGCGCAGTTTCAGGATCATATCACACTGCCTTTCGCCTGCCGTCCCTATGCAGAATCCATTCTAGTAGACAGTCTTCCGTACGAGTATACGCATTTTTACGAATACCTCCCCATGTTCATTCTCAGGCTTAAGCAAACACGTTCCTTTGTTTCCTCCGCGGCCTTCCGAGCCTCGGTTGTATATCGGTCGAGAGGGCCTTCGACAATTCCCTGCAACAGAATAAGGCTGGATAGGTCTGAGATTTATGATTGAACGAACCAAACAATCCGTGATCATAAAATTGAGCCCTGCCTGTTCCAGTTCCAGGGCACGACTCCCATTGGAGTACTCCAATGGGGTTTTCCGCTAATGAGCTTCGGCTACGCGCCCTGTGGATACGGTACCTGACGCGGCTCGCGGAAGTGGGTTTGGGTCCTTGGCCCTAGGCCTCTTCGAGAGCAACATGCCTCGGAGATAGATTAAGTCTGGTCACGCTAGTGCACAACGGGCATAATCTACCCCCTGATGCCTCGGAGGTGGAGGCCAAGAACGCCTCTAATAAAGATGGCGTCTCTCCCCCCAGATTATCGCACCTGCCACAGCGACAATTCCATCATGAAGTTCTCCGCCGCACTGAGCACTTCGCTTTTTGCGACTGCCGCCCTGGCATCCCCTCGCCATAACCCCTTCCACCGCGCTCACTCGAAGAGCGAGGCGGGTGCCGCTAACACAGCCGGCGACGACAAGAGCACCATCAACGGCATCACCTCTAGCACCTGGGCCGGCGCGGTCCTCGTCACCGAGGGACCCGTCAGCGCCGTCTCTGGCCAATTTGTCGTGCCCACCCCAAAGCACCTGCCAACGCCCAGTCAGGTACTGAGTACTGCGCTTCCATCTGGGTGGGCATCGACGGCGACAGCAGCAGCTGCGGCCAGGCCATCCTCCAGACCGGCATTGACGTCTGCATTAAGGATGGCCAGCCGTCGTACTCGGCCTGGTACGAATGGTGGCCCGCTCTGGACGAGTACTTCGACAACTTTGATATCTCCGCCGGCCAAACGCTGCAGGCCTCCGTCCGGGCGACCGCCAACAATGCCGGCGTTGCCACGCTGGAGAACCTATCCACTGGGAAGAGCGTGTCGTTCCCTTGGCATGGAAATGTGCAGGCCAACCTCTGCCAGCTGGACGCGGAGTGGATTGTTGAGGATTTCTCGTCTTCGGATGGAAAGACTGTGCCTTTCGTGGACTTCGACACTGTGACTTTCACCAACGCCTGGGCTACCGTCGACGGGAAGTTTGTTTCTCCTGCCACTGCGCAGCTGTGGGATATTAGCCAGGATGGTACCACGCTCGCTCATACGTCCATTGATGGTAGCGATGTTTCCATCAGCTACGTTGCATAGAGGGCTTTTGCTCAATTTGGTGGATAGAGACTGAGTTCCCGGGTGCGACATAGATGCCACTAATGGTTGAGGAAGCCTTGGGCTGTACATTCTTCTACGATGAGACCAGTCTGTACATTTTGTATACCCTAGGTTATTTTAATACTTAGAAATCCACTGTACTTATAATTGGACATAATCATCTTTTGTAAGATCTCCCCCACCCCTTGATTATGATCTCAGACTAGGGAGGTATCACCAACACCAAAGGGCACAAACCATAGAAGGCAGGATCCCATATCCATTTTTCGGCGGAGAATGACATTTGAATGCTCTAAATGACCACGATTTTAAGACGAGAAAGATACTCCACAGCGGGGGCACAAGAAAATTTTGCGTCGCGACTGTAAATAGGAAGGGCAACATGGACTTCGCGTTTGCTATGTCGCGTGCACTGATGTGCATTGTTTACTTTCATACAGGTAGTGGCAGTGTTGGGATGGGTCAACAAATTGGACACAAGGTTTCTTCTCCAAGCGGCCGGACAAGCCGACACAGTTGATGAAAAAAGGGTGTTCGCGTCGAGAGGGGATAGTGTGAGCCCAATGACACTGTGCGACCAGCATGCGCAAGCACAGAGGCCAGTCGCGCTTTCCAAAAATAAGGATAATCAGGGTGTTCCAGAGAACACTTCCAGCGATTAAACTGAAAAGAACAGATACTACACTTGATCTAAGCCAATTGGCAAAGAGAGCTGGAAAGAAAAAAGAAAGAAGAGGAAGTTGGGGAAATCGACCAGATATTTATGTCTGGGAGTAGTTTGCCACGTGCCCTAAACTTACGCTAAACCTTACGCTAGCGCTAGCGTCCAGAGTGGGCCCCACTACAGGCGAACCAATCACAACCCATGGTCCGTAACTAGGGTCCTCAGCTCTATGAGCTACAATGCAGGAAATAGTAGTCATGCGATCTGATTAGCCATGAGTACGAGGAGATCTCCGGCCACCCGCAGAGCTGCCTCCACTGCCAACAACAATGGTCGTTCATGATCACGAGAGTTCAAATGTCCCCGTGATTGTTGGTCCAGTGGTCAAATTATTCTCAGCTACAGCCCGTTGAAGGTTCTTTTTCACGGGCATGCTCTGATTGCAGGCCGGGTTTGCTGGGTTTGTAGGAGAATTGGAAAATCCCTCATCAATAGCTGAGGTATCCAGAACATACCTGAGCCCTCGGTACGTGGCACCTGCTACCAGCTCACGCAGTAGTATAATCGCCAGCGCAAGTACGGATTCTTCACCCTATTGCATGGCTCTTGGACAATGAGCTCTAACCTTAAACCTCTACGAAGCTTCATCTACGAGAACGTCCACTCCAAACATGAGTGCCCCGAGTGCCCCGATTCGCGATCCTCTTCCACGATAACCGGGGGCGATTGCAGAGCAGCGTGGTTGGCGGAGTGGCTGGTCTTGCTTTACTGCTTGTGATAGCCTGGTTTCTGTATTCCCACCGCAATAATTCATCAGAGAATAACATGCACTATGCTGTATACAAATCAATACGATTTGAATGCGTTGCAAGCGCTAGGAGAGCTTGACTCGGATGCAGCTCGCCGTAGGGGAGAACTTGAAGGCAGCAACATCAGTGGCAGCAATGGCGCGGACTCAGAGCCAGTCTAACAACCGTCAAAACTGGATGATAGCAACCATCTGCAGAGGGCTTCTCCGGTCTACAAACTTCTAGTTATATCTACAAGTATATGAAGCTGCAGGGATGTTCGCAGGGCTACTAGGGATCAACTTGGATCTGAAATAGCAAATTCAGTATCATATTCTCCAGCTGATGCCTGAAAAGCACTTCAGTCTGCGACAAGATGATCAAGCGCATATATTATAAGACTTGTCCTGGGATCGATAAAGTCTCAATCAGCAAAACCCTGTAAAATGCAAAAAAAAAAATTCCTCATATCCCTTTTTGCTCGGCCGATAATTGCAACGTCGCACTTAACGGAGCCGTTGCCGAACGCCCTCACCGCCCCAATAACAGTGACACCCGCGCCATTTCATTCCACAGCTGTAGCAAAAATGATACCCACAACTTCTTAGGTAGTTAGAATATAATGCTACTCAGTGATTTAGGAGATCTTCAATATACTGACCGGCAAGTTATATGGAGGCAGCCATAGACGAGCTCCACCATGGCCCTACATTTATTGCATCGCTGCCATCTTAACGAGCGGGCCTTCCGTAGAACATCCTGAAGTGCGGTGTCCTTAGGACAGTCCTCTTTAGGATGGGCAACCAGGCGACAAATAGCATGAGTCTTCGTGTTACACGCTTTGCAAGTGCCATGCTCATTGGTAATTTTCGACGGAGGAATGAATCGAGCACATCGAGCATTCGCACAGTAGAGTCGATCTTTTGTGCTCCATTCAATGCTTCGCTCATTGAATTCCTTCAGCTGCTTCTTGCTCAGAACTTTCGCACTGGCGACGACAATGGGGATATTATTCCCACAGCAGCGAGGTGGATAGCGCTCCTCGTCCTTCGTTGCGACAAGAAGCATTTGCTTTAAACACTCGCCGCAGTATTCGTGGCCACAAGGCCCAGCAGAGTAGGTCGATTTATTCTCCTCTAGACAGGAGACACATGTTTTTTCCACGTCTGAGTCTTGCGTCAAATCAATGACTTGGTGTTTTATGTCTTTGGCCAGAGACCTCGTTCGGGGCAGACCGAGATCCACATCACTGAGCGAGTGAAATTCCACTTTACCATCAGCAAGGTACTCTAGGTCTGTGTCATCGTCTGTGTCCTCGGGCTGGAAGGAGGGATCTTCGATTGAAGATGAGCTGTTGGAGTCATTCTCGGATATCAATTCGAGGTCACTTGAAAACGAACTATCATCGCTCTCAGCATCGGAAAGGGGACGATCAGGGGTTTGGTCGGTTTGATCTTGCGGTACCACCCGGGGCCCTGGGGGCTCCCCGGACAAGCCAATGGGGAGGCGTCTTCATTCAAGGTGTGGGCCCTGATCCAGTCCCTGGTGACTGCTTGAGCAGCCAAAACTTCCTCTCGCATCTGCCTGATGGCCATATTAAAATCGTTCAAGTTTTCGATGCTAGGACCTTCCCTAGCCGCCTGTGCCTCCATTTTAGCTAGGTCCTCAAGCATAAGCCTCAAGGCCAGCTGTCTGTCTCCTGAATCCATGCTGTAAAGATTATTACTGCTTATTCGAGTGAATATATTCGCGAGCTCGGCTCGTAGGAGGACTCACCGTGACGTACCTGGGGTTGAATGGAATTTGAAAGCAACCCAAGTTGATGTTTTGTTCGATGGGTGGGAGAGTTGTGTTATATGCAGGCTGATAAGTCAAACCGGAAACCTCCTGGTAGAGCCACCCCAAGATCAAATCATGCAAAGGGCCAAATCTGAACTAATTGAAAGGCCTTTTGGGGACAGTCCGGAACTGATCTCCAAGAAATAATCAAGGAAGAACCTATCAATGTTATCGATCGGTCTGAACTGATTAGCGAGATGATAGCCATGGCCATCCTCACTTCTGCGTCAACGACTTCTATAGTTCAGAGGTGGGGCGTATCGGCGAATTGATTTCCCGGGTTGCCAAGGCCAAAACTCGCGATCCCCTCTTATCGCAATTATCGCATCTTGGATTGACAGCAGATAAATCATGGCCAAATCCAAAGCAGCGGCCAAGCGCAAGCGCAATGCGCAAGCGGAGTTGCCGCAGAAAGTCCCCAAGGCTACCATATTGACTCCACCTCCTGACAGTGCAAGCATAGAACCGAAGCACCTGAATACTGTGGTGGCGGATGAAGATCTCGAAATCACAATCGACACCCTCAAGACCCTCACCCAATTCCCAAGCTTGACTAAGTCGAAGGCTTGTAAGGACCTGCGGGGTGCCGTCTATGACTTTCGTCAGGCCTGCACTACGGGCCTGAATACCGCTGGTATGACTTGTGTGCTCCAGAGAAATGACGGGGGAAACTAATCCATTGCAGAGGGCGGCAATTTAACAGCACGGATTAGCGGTGCGCTGGCAGACAAGAAGTATATCGAAGCCAAAGTACTACTGGCCGAGATGAGGATAAGGGGTGAAATCCCCAAGATTGGCGCACTATGTCGCTGGGTCCGTGATCTAGACGTCGTCAGTGGGTTATCGACACAACCTGGAGTCGTCGATCGGGTCCCACTTCACCGCAGCCCTGAAGACGTCGAGCTTCTCAGTGTCCTCGATGCAATTGTGCGTGTCAGCACGCCCATTGATGTCAACCCAGACGCAGTCGACTCCACGTCTCCCATCTCCTTCCAGTCCATCTGGGACCTCCGCCCCTCTGCCTCCACGCCACTCCCCATCTATGCCTCCGTCCTCGATAAAACTATACTAGAACATGCTCCGAAGTCCCCCAACGCCATCCGAATCATTGAGGAAACACCTGGCCCTCTCCGCAAGCCCCCAAACCACCACCCCGCCATCCTCTATACCACCCTCCCCAACGCCATCCCTCTCGACCCCGCCGGCCACCCTATAACATATCACCCGCACCCTTCAGTCCCAGGCCTAGGCATCGCAATGAACGTACTCTCCGAGGGAGAATGCAAGGCTATCATCGCTGCCGGCGAGTCCGTCAACTTTATCCCAGACGCTCCTCTCCGCGAAGACGGCGACATGAGCATCCTCGCCCACAACTTTTACTGGGTCATTGACACGGCCTTCCACGACATTCTCTGGTCTCGCATGGCACCTTACGTGCCGCCCTCTGTCAACGGGCGCCCAGTGCGCGGAATCAACCGTCGGTTTCGGGTATACCGATACGTGCCAGGGGCCGAGTACCGGTGCCACATTGACGGTGCGTGGCCGCCGTCGGGAATTCTCCCAGATGACACATATGTCTACGACTCATCACCGCCGGATCGGCGGCAGAGCTCCATGTATACCTTTTTGCTGTACCTGAACGATGAGTTTGAGGGCGGCGAAACAACGTTCTTTATGCCTGCGGCGCGGGAGGGAACGCTCAATGCTTACCCGGTACGACCGGTGATGGGGGCGGTGGCGATCTTCCCGCACGGAGAGTCTAATGGGGCTCTGCTGCATGAGGGCACGGGAGTCAGGAAGGGTGCGAAGTACATCATTCGGACTGATGTGGAGTATGATGTGAAGCCGTTGGAAGAATGATCACGAATACTCCGTAGATAATTGGCGCTTGGCCGAGCTAGGTGGACCGGGCCTGGCCCAAATACCTTCAAATCCGTGAAGGTAGACCTATCTTAGTGTTTACCAAACTAGGAATAAAATATATATAACCTCAAATTCCTTGGAACTTCACCTGGCCTACTATTCCGGAGAGGTCTGTAAACATCCCATGAACAAGGAGTGTCCAAGTACTCCGTACTGCGAGAATATCCAACTTGAACGGAGGTATCGGAATCAGTTCATTGCGGGGCAGATCCGATTGGCCCGGGGGGGTTCTTTGATCGCCAGCCCGTCGCCAATGGCTTTTCTCTCCCACAGCGGACCCGTATATACCAGCGGCATTCCCCGGATGGTGGACACCAGATCGGGGGTGGGATATGCTAATCGGTACAGTTGGCCGATGATAGTTTGGCCATGATGCAGCCGAGTCGGCCGGACCAAATCAGACCACTCACTAGTTCTCACTAGTGGGCTCGACTTGGTCTACTGTCAGTGGGTTGGTGTGTTTGGCGTAGATCAAAACCGCCTTTGCAGGATTCGCAACTGAAAAGCTCCCAAGGTAGGCAGAGGAGAGAAGAACCGGCATGATGGGAATATAACTGAAGACAATCTAGCATAACTGGCCGAATCTCACAATCAGAATGAGAGCCAGACGAGAGCTTCCAGATTTAGGTTTTGGGTGATGGGGCACCGATCCGACTTCTTCAGGGGCGAAAGACGACAGGCACGGTCCGACATCATGCTTGGAGATGATTGGCGCCAATAGTCAAAGGTCAGCCCCAGAATGCCCCAGCAGCCAATTGCGGTTTTCTGGAGCCCCTGTCCACCGTTCGTCCAGTCCTTGTTCGCGGCCTGCAGCGCCCATTTCTCATATTTCGGTCTTACGTACCCGCTGTCAAGTAAATTGGATATGTCTGACATCCTATCAACTCATGCACATCATTGGTAGAGGGCTTTTCCTGCACATGAGCCACATTAGAAGCTGCAACCTTGGAAGCGTTAACAAAGCTTCGGTAAGATAGAGCGAATCCCGGTCCAGAACGACGGTGTTATAGTGTGATGGTGCTAATCCCAGTTGGGCTTTCGTTGCTTCCTTTCTCCCCCCCGTGCAGTCTTTTCTCCCACCCCATCTTCTTGAGAGCGCGTGTCTCGACCTCTCCCTTTCCCTTTCTTGCTTGGCCCTTAGACTGCTCATCTTCCTTTTGTTCTTAATCGCGCCTAATTTTTCCATTCTTTTCTCTGGCCTAGGCGCACGATCCGTGGCTCCACCCCCCAACCTCCCCCTCTTTTACCCCCCCCTCGTGCATTGTCAAATCTTGTGGTCTGTACCTCGGCGCAGCGCATTGCAAAGCGTCTCTCCCAGTCTCAAACGCGACCTCTCACATCTTGGTTGCCCGGGGAGGACCTGACACGCCCACGGAACCTACCTGCGCCAGTCCAGCCCTGATCCGTGGCTCGCGACGGGGGAAAACGCAAATCGTACCAAGACAGCGTTTGCACTTCTGCGCCGCCCCGCGAGCCTGATTGAGACCATTCAGGGAAACTCCACCCCCTGCAGCGGTGTATTTACAATTTACTACATTTGGGATCCCCACCGCGGTGTACCGAGGACCCCCTTACCCCCCCCAAACAGTCGGTGACCTCTAGAGGACTTCCGGCTTTAATCTTGCTTTCCTGTGAACGGCTGCCTACTGGGATGGCCTGATTGAAATCAGCACGGCCAAGCGGATCTGACCTATCCCTCTATTACTTTTTTTTCCCCATCACCCTGGGTTCCAGCTGGCCTGGCCTTCATCTCAACACGAAAATCACCCCTCCGCACCAATTGGAATGGCGGGCGTGGCCACCGCACACTCGTCTGATGCCCTGCCATCAACAGATCATTCGCAATGGGAGTTCTCCGTGCCGATAGGTAACGATGTGAGTTTAGTCCCAATCCTGGAGTTTCGAGAAGCAGAGCAGAAGGAGCCTCTCCCGGAGGAAAATGGAAAAAGAAGGAAATCTTCAGCTAATACTCGTCTTTTTTTGCGCACAGAGCGCTTCACATTCCTCACGACCCCGCAACTCCCACGATTCCAATTCTGTGCGAGTACGCTCCAGCCGAACACGAAATTCCAATGGCTCACGCAGCTCCTCCGTCTCCCGCAATGTCCACGCCCACGATTCATCTTACATGAACTCCAGCCGGAACCGACACGAGCGAAGCCTCAATCGCCAAGGAAACGATATCAGCAACGCGCGGGATGTCCGTGGACGCGATGCCGCCGCTATCATGATCGCTGCCGAGGGAGAGGAGGACGATCAGGATGAAATGAATAGTGAAAACTGGATTCACCGGGATAAACTTGCCAAAATTGAGAGCGAGGAGCTGCAGCAGATCATCCGACTCCAGCGACGCATGACTGAGACCAAGTCAGAGAGTGGACGCGAACGCAGCCATGAGTCTCGCCAAGGCGGCAACCCAGCAACAGCGCAGAGTGAGGATTACTCTGAACCGTGGCCCCAGCTTCAGGAGACACAAAACACAGACGATCAGTACGGAGAGGAGAGGACCGAGTGGGATCTCCGCCGACCGTCGGTGGTTGCGGCGGACGAGGCAGCGACAGGGATCTATTCAAACACGGCCTTGCGCAAGAGTTCTTCACGGATCCCCATTGTAAGCCCTTCAGTCCAAGGCCGTGACTCGCGCGGGCCTCGGAGCCGAGCAGCAACCGAGGAAGGTGAGGAGGAGTCTCGTGGCCGCAGAGCGAGTGAACCTGGGGCTGGCACAGAGCCCAATACGGCCGATGAACCCACCACTCCGCTACCTGACAGTCGACCAGCCAGCCGTGGATTCGGCACGACGCCCAACACCCCGAAGAAGACGCCAGCTAAAGCGGGATCTGCTACCCGCAAGACTTCGGCACCACCTAACAACCGAAAGACCTCTACTGCACGATCGCGCGCCGTCTCCGGCAACACCACGCAGCGCCCTACAACTCGCTCTGGTGAGAGCCGCCCGACAACTGCAGTCAACAGACCTGAAGGAGATCCACCGTGGCTGGCCACAATGTATAAGCCAGACCCCCGCCTTCCTCCCGATCAGCAAATTCTTCCCACCGTTGCCAAGAAGCTGCAGCAAGAACAATGGGAGAAGGAAGGCCGTACGCCTACTACATACGACCGTGACTTCGCTCCTCTAGCCGTTCATCCGAACGACGAACCCCCCATACCTCCCAAGGAAGAGCCAGAGGAAGAGCGTATTGAACCGCCTCCCAAGGCGAAAACTCCAGAGCCGCCTCGTCCGGAAACCAGGTCGGGATACAGTACCATGCCTAAGGTGCAAGATACCCCTCCCCTGGGACTGACTCCCAACCCTAACTGGACTCCTCCGATCGTGACTGCACAGGAGAAGCCGAAGAAGGAGAAGGGATGCGGTTGCTGCGTCGTTATGTGATGGACTCACCTCGTTTCCCTTTCATTTTCCTTTCTAAAATCCCCGACTTTGTCATACTTTGTTTATTCCCCACCTTCAAGATACCTTTTATTCGCACCGCCCACACATAACCGCCTTGATCTCGTTATCTGTCGATTCTTTTCTTTCTTTGTTGATCTATTATCACCCGTGCTCTGGTTGGATGGTGTTCAGTGGGTTATTTGATTTTGCGACATCCCAATGCCAGAATTTTGTGTTCGTCTGGCTCAGACCCTTTTTAAATCGGTTCTCTTTCCTCGAAGCAAGGCTTCTATTCCAGCCTTCTTCTATCCGTTCCTTCCGGTTTCTTCCATCGAGACATTCTTGTGCCGGCTGCGAGTCGGGAAATCAAAAAAGAAAAAAAAAGCGGCTCACATTGGACCCCCATAGAAGATGATCCTGTGCATATCTGGGACTTTATGCCCCTTCTGTTTAAAGTCTGTTGGTATCGTCATTTGGCTTATTTTACTACCATCTGCGTTCTACAATATCCCCAATGCTCTTCAAGCGTTCTCTTTTTTTTATTTTTCGCCTTTCCTTTCCGTTATTCCTTCTCTGTTTATGCGGGACAGATCATTCTACCCTGAACTTAGCATAGATTAGCAGATCGAATCCAAGAAATTCTATAAAAAAAACAAAACAAAACAAAACAAAACAAAAAAAGCCCGTATACTTTTACAATACAAGCCTAATCTAGACCCTCGATCCTTACGTCATCCTTTAGAGGTGCTGATCAATCATCCACGTGACGGGTTGCAGGCCGTGGCCAATCATACTTAAAGCGCGCGGATTCCGTCATATCGAAGTCCATCCTACTTATAAATTCCGAGACTCCCAGGTCTCCCTCCACTTGCCCACCATTTCTTACTTCAAGCGACTTTTTGGCTCCTTCGCGACGCCTTCTCCCGCCGCCATGTCCGACGCAAAGACCAAGGCCCAGACCCTCATCAACGAGAACGGCGTCGTCGTCTTCTCCAAGTCCTACTGCCCATACTGCAGCGCCAGCAAGCAGCTCCTGCGCGACCTCGGCGCGAAATTCGAGCTGCTGGAGCTCGACGAGATCGGTACGTACAGCATTTCGCTCGGAGGGCTACAATCAGCATCCAGGAGCTTCCTGACTTCCCACCTCTCCCTCCCCCCGGCGCTCCCTTCTCTACTCTGGCCTGGTAGAACAGCCGGAAACAACCCCGTTGTTCCCTTGCACTGTCTACCCCGCTCTGTCATCATCGGGAGAAATCGCACTTCAGACTGCCCCGCAGCACTTTGACTTCCCTCATAAAGCCCCGAACTCGAAACCAGGCCATTGCTAACCTTTCCCCTTCTTTTCTGCAGAGGACGGCAATGCCATCCAGAGCGCCCTCCAGGAGATCTCGAACCAGCGTACCGTGCCCAACATTTTCATTAACAAGAAGCACATTGGTGGAAACTCGGACCTGCAGGCTATCAAGGACAAGCTGCCTGACCTGTTGAAGAGTGCTGGTGCTCTGTAGAATGGAGAATGGAAATAGAGGACCCGCGGTCCTATTTACAAGATACCGTGCTGGATAGCGTTCCAGAGCGGGTTGCGCTCAATCGAATTGAGATCAATCATTTGCACATAATGTGCTTTCTTTCAGGCTGCTTTTGTAGTTGATAACCCTATTCGTTTAGTGTAGAATTGCTCTCCTAAGTGGTTGTAGCATGCTGTTTATAAGCGTACATAGCAAGAGCTTTCGCTGGTACTTCTCAAATGCGTAGGGGGGAACTCGAGATGGAAGATCCTCTTCCATCTCTCCATCTCTCCAGGGAGACTCTGCCAGCGAATCCGTAGGCGAATTGCAAGCCCAGAAACTTCGACGCTTCCAGGCAGAAGTTACCGGAATTGCGCAATTGATGGAAGCTGCCCCGCGAGAGGCCCCCGCACCCCTTCCCCCCCCGTATACTTCATATACATCCAGCTCTACTGGTATTCAGTTTAAACCAGGACCTACCTCACTTAACCCTAAGACCATCCCCTACAATGCCACCCCAGAACATCCTCCTCTTCGGTGCAACAGGCACCATCGGAAAATACATCCTCTCCGCTCTCCTCTCCGCGCGCTCCCAATTCCAGCGCATCGCAATCTTCACCTCGCCCAACACCGCCGCAACAAAAAAAGACCACCTCGCCGCCCTACAACAGCAAGAGGTCCAGATAATAGTCGGTAATATAGAAGATGAACAGGCTGTGAAAGCCGCCTACGAGGGTACCTTCCCCCCTCCCCCGGCCCCACATCCGAGTCTTTTGATACTCAAAGATAAAAAGTAGTACTTTAGTACTATACTGGGGAAACCTATTCCTAACAGACGCAGGAATCGACACCGTAATCTCAGCTCTAGGCCGCGGCTCCCTCGCCCAGCAGATCCCCCTCATTCGCCTCGCAGCCGCCAGCAGCGTCAGGCTCTTCCTGCCCTCCGAGTACGGGACGGATATCGCGTACGGCCCGGCCTCTGCGCACGAGAAACCGCATCAGCAGAAGCTGAAAGTGCGCGCGTTCTTGGAAAAGGAGGTTTCGCGCGCGGAGCTGGATTATGCGTATGTGGTGACGGGCCCCTTTGCGGAGATGTATCTCCATTTTATCCCGGGGTGGAAGCAGCTGGGGGGGTGGGATGTGGAGGGGCGGAGGGCGGTGTTACTGGGGGACACGGGGAGGAGAGGGTTAGTTTGACGACGATGAAAGAGTAAGATTCTTCTTTGTCATTTGGCTTTTTTTTCTTGTCATTTTAGTTGTTTCTGTTTCTGTTTATGTGGGGACTTTCTTTTTGCGGTTGTCATTTGGTACACGTCCATTGAATGGGGTTTATATCGGAGTTGGAAGAGGGAGCCTTGAACATGAACGATGCTGATAATACCACAGCGTCGGCACTCTTACCCTAGCCGTGCTGCTCCATGCAACACCGGAGGTTCTGAACCGGGCGTTAACAGTGAACTCGTTCACAACTAGTCCCGCCGAAATCCAGGCCGAGTTTGAGCGGCAGACCCGGCAGGTGTGGAAGAATGTCTCGCGGACTTCTCTGGCGCAGCTGCGTGAAGAAGAGCGCAAAGCGTGGGAGGCTGGGATTCCGGCGGCGACGGGGATTACGCTCAGACGGATCTGGACGGAGGGCGGAACGCTCTATGCGCAGCGGTCGAATGGATTGCTTGGGGAGCCGAAGATGGGGACGCTGGCGGAGGTTGTGGCGGGAGAGATTAATAGGGATGCGCCGAGGCTTTAGAAGAAGGTTAAGCGTGTCCAGACCGGGGCTCGTAGGATGCCAATTGAGCCGCTTGGTTATGCCAGTTCTGAGCAATGAAACAGAAAAACCTCAAAATACTCCTTGGGTATTCTATTCCGAAGTCTTCTATTCCTGAGTCTTCGGGCGTACGCAAAAAGGGAAAGGGGGCCATTGAGGAAGATTGAATTAAACGAAAACATTTCAGGTGTTCACTAGCGTCAGATTCACATGGTCAAAGGGGGAATGATAACATAAAATCGGGGGGAAGCGGAAAAACCGCGCCCTAAGGTAAAGAACAAAAAAGCTCGGATCTACTGGAAGAATTTGCGGACCCGCTCTTGGTTCTCTGGGTCAACACTCGCCAGGATAGACTCAGCGTTCACGCCAGTTGCAGCGACGAGGTTCTTCGCAGACGCAGCCACGCGGACGGCGGTCTGGCCTTGCAAGGTTGAGGCGTCGAGGGCCTTGATAATGTACCCGAACACGCGGTCAGCGTTTGCGAAGACGGCGGGATTTTGCCTGGAGGAAAAAAGTATTAGTATACATCCCTCAGGAAGCGTGAAACGCGGTTCAATACTTACTGGTCAATCAATTGCGCAACAAAAGAGTAGGCGTAAGGAGCAGCCTCGTCGTCGTATGTGATGGGAAGGGTATCGATCCAGGTGTTCACGACATCTTGAGGATTCGCAACCTTTGAGGAGTTGTAATGCAAGATCTTGGCAATACTGGCAGAGGCATTCTCAGAGGCAAATACATGCTCCTCGGTGCGGCTGTGTGGGTGTTGTGCTGCTTGGAAAAGGCTTGGTATACTAGCAGCCACGAATTCGCTCCAGGCGACGCCACCCTTCTGGGCAGCAACGCCCACACCGTAGGCCGCGGCTTGTCGGTTAGCAGCGTTTTCGTCGACCAGGCCGGCAGCCAGGGGCTGCATAATGTAGTCTTTGTATTCCCACGAACGCTCGCCACAGAACTCAAGCACATCATCAAAGATGCACATGGCCCATTGTCGCTGGGTCGGGTCATTGCTCTTGATGAAGTTCTCATAGAGGGGGAGCAGTCGTTGCCAGGCGCCCAGGAAGGTGGTGCCCTGGTTCTTGAAAATAGTGTGGAAGGCCTTGTTCATGTCACTGAGCAGGTTCTGGTCATCCTCCACAGCGTACTCCAAGTCCAAGTTCTCTTCATCGCCCTCTTCCAGTTCAGCCTGTTCTTCCAGTCGCTGCTTAACGCGCATTTGGTAGTCTTCCAGCGTCGATTTGGCGGACTCGATGAAGGCACTCATGTGCTGCTCGGTCAGACTGTTTTGGCCAACCACCTCCACTGACTCGTAAAAGCACTGGTACATCTCGGCCAGGGTATCTACAGTAGGCTCCGCACTAAGGACCTCGATGATCTTCTCGGCAACCTTGCTCCACATTTGGGGAAAGTCGGGATTTTGTGCTTTCTTGGAGGAATTCAGGAGCTGTGGAATCAGCTTAGCAGCTGACACACGAACGGGGTCGTGGAAGAAGAAGGCAAGACCAGGAATGGCAATCTTCTCCATGGTCTGTGGGACGTAGGGCTCAAAGGCCTCTTCCAAGATTTGAGCATAGATGGTGATTAACTCAATGGCAGTGTTCTTGTCCTCCAAAGCACTGGTCTTGATACCGATGACCTTTCCTTTGAGAGGAACCAACTCCCAGGCCTCATCTTGCTCGACTTGCTCGATTTGGTCTTCGTCGTCGAGAAGCTGGATATCGGCATTCGCAGCTGCGACGGTAAGAAGAGGAGGCATAACTCCGGGCAGATATGGCACGAAATCTCTTCCGAGAACACGGCACATACGGCCCCAGCAGTGAAGGAGATATTGCGATTGAGGATCATCAGCGTCGGTAATGTTCTGTTGAATGTTTCCGAGGATCTGCACAAGGTTGATAGCATCCGCGCCCATCTTCTCCTTGCCCACAGCGAGAGCAATGAGAGTGGCGCACTCCATGGCCTTGGCGCGTAGCAAGCGGTACTCCTTGTCTTGCACTCCCGTCAGGAGTTCAAATAGTTGCGGCATAAGCTTACCATAGTATTGGCCGAAAGCCGCCTCAGCCGAGTCAGCGATCGTGGCAATAGTTGACAGAGCCTGTTCCTGAAGATAACGCTTGTCAGTTGGCAATAGCTGCACCAAGAAGTGCACAAGCTGATCAAGGTAAGGCTCCAGGATGCTGCGCTCCGCCTCCTCGCAGAAGTTAACGAGAGCAGCGGCGGCATGGGACTGTACACGGGGCTCAGGGACCTCCAAAACAGGGATGATGTTGCTCAACACCTTCTCATGGTACTGCTCTTGCATGGTACCAGCGAAGTCGGTACTCATTTGACCAATGGCATTGCAGCCAGCGTAGCGCACCCGGGGGTGGGGGTCTCGAAGGGCCGGAATGACCAGCTCGAGGACTTGGCTCAGCTCGCCGACCATTAGGTCCCGACACCCCTCGGAAATGGCAGAAATAGCCATCAGAGCCGCATGGCGATCACGCCAGGCTGTCGAGGACATCATACGTGGGATCCATGAAAAAGCAGGCTGGAGAATAGCAGCTCCGCCAAGCTTGTTCGCCAGACGGTCCATGCATTGCTCACCAGCGATGTGGTTAAGATCACTCTCCTCAGGTTCGAGCTGCAGTCGATCAGTTAGAGAATTGACATCGATCCGAGACTCGGTCTAGAAACTCACATCCTCTGAAGAAGTCCACTCCGATGCATCGTCATCATCCGCACCCACATCAGTCATCAAGCTGAGGCACTGTGTCACCATTTCTTGAGCAAAGTTGGGCTGCTTCTTGCACATATTAGGGGCGAAATCGACGAACGTGGCCATTAATTCCAAAGCATTTTGACGGACTTGGTCGCTGAGCTCTTTGTCAGCAATCACGCCAGTGCTGAAAGCCACAAGGTCACCGAATGTATTCTTGAACATCTTAGGGCTCGTTTCAGCCAACTCAATGAGTGCCACAAATGCAGAGGAAAGTTCATCGCTTTCGCTGGACGACTTGAGCGGAGGTAAAATATTCAGCACGTCACCGACAAGAGGGAAGAACTTAGGCTGGGATTTTTTGGGGATGGAGCGGAACAATGCGGCGAATGCCTCCATGGCAGCAATCCGTACCTAAAGTATCCGTTGATTAGCATGCGTGGGTTGTTGCGATTGACGACGCGCAGAGGTGGGGGAGGTGGGGGGGAAGGGTTTGATGTTTCATCTTTTTGGACTCCAGTATGAAAACGTACAGCAATATTATCGTCCTTGAAACCATTGCTGAAGACGCCTAAGACAACGTTCTCGTGCTCTTCCTTCTCAATAATGCCAGGGGTGGTAGTGAAAATTCGGAAAGCAGTCTCGCGGAGGCCGGCCTCCAGAGATGTGCTAGCCTGGTGAAGGGCCTTGGGCAAGTCGTCCCAGTCTTCGTTATCGGCACGAATTACTTCGCCTGAAACAAGATGCCATTAGCGTCAAAGTACGGCATGCAGAGGTGAGATTCGAGCCCTGTTTAGGACATACCATTATCAATGTATTGGCGTGCCACTTCAGCCACTGCATCACCAATCTTCTTGCGCACGTCATTGGCAGGCTCGGTGCCAAGGCACACCAACAGCTTCTTGCGGATCGCAGAACGCTGGTTTGCTTCCAAGCTAAGGAAGATCTCCTTGCCAAAGTTCTTGCGGGTCTTGATCGCGATTCTTCGGAAAAGGACGGCGGAGAAAGCACGTGCCTAAGGTGTTCGTCGTTAGTCCTACTTCTCAAGGAAACTAACGCCGGCAGGAATTTTCTCATAGAAGTCTCAGGTGCGAGATTGCCAATAATGGGCTGAACCCCGCCAATCCCTGAAGAACCTTCCAAAGCTCTCAAGGGGTGAGAAAGGGAGACATGGTGACTTACCAGGGGATCTTCCGCACCGGAGATCTGCTCTGCGAGTCCCATGAGAAGAATCTCAGGGCGGGCATCAACCCAGTCATTGTTCAATGAATCTTCGGCCCGCGAGCGTACAGCGTTGTCTGGGGTGCTCAGGTCGCGCAGCAGCTGGGACAGCTGAGCGTGGACCTCGGGAGAGAGCAGCGACATGGTGGGTTTGTCCGTTCCCAAGATCCAGTCAATAAGAACCCTCTAAAATGAAACCCGGGTGGTGGATTATTGAGGTGGGGAGGAGTTAGAAGGAGGGGTGGATTGAGAAGGGGAGGAGTTTTGTTTTTGGTGGGGCGGGGAGGAAGGGAAAAAGATTGATGATTAGGGGAACTGATACGCGATAGCGCCCGCTTGGTGGCTACACCCTTTTACCCCGGTGTAGATCCTTTCAACAAGGAGCAAATGGAGTGTAAAAAAGGAACATCAATGAGTTTTTTTTGTTTTTTTTTTGTCAAGGTTATTGTTGTAGACGAAGGAAAATTGGCCTAGATCCTCTAGAACTAAAGCGGTGTCAGTAACATTGTCTCCAACAATGTTAAGATGCTCGGGAAGGATTTAGTGTAGATGAAGTATATATTCTGCTCCTGGGGTTGAGTGCTGAACCTCGAATCGGAGGATGCAAATTTACTGCTATTGCCTCTACCTAGGTACGAAATAGAGCGAACCGGCCTTTTTGGACCATTAGCTTGTCTGCTTGTAGTTACCAGGAAATATTTGCATTGAATGGCTAGCTAAAAGCCGCAACCGATCGGTGACCAGCGGTATCTGAACGCGACTGAGAAATATTGATATTAGAAAGGCTATGCACGTCCCACATAGAGGGCTCAAGGTGAGCAAGAGTGACTGAAATCGTACAGGGGACAGAGGACTGGAGGAAATCAGGGCTTGAGAAAAACATAAGGACAATATCTATTTACGACGCTTCAACGACCAGTGGGCCTACTGAGAATGAACACACCCGCGATGACGGCGGCCAAGGTAACAATCGCTCCGGGCAGAAGCAGATCATTGGGAACACCAGCAATGAGCTGCTCCTCTGAGGGCGCAAAGCCATTCTGCTGGCGGGGCTTAGCGAGAGGAGGCTCTTCGGGAGTGGGAGCCTCAGTGACATTGCTCTCTTCGGGGACGGGAGTGGCAGGTTGAGGTTGGACAGGATGGGGGTCAATGGTGGCCGGGATAGGAGGCTGAGAGGGGTCATGAACGAAGAGATCAACCTTGTCGCGGCGAGTTCGACGGGCAAGTTGGATAGCATCCACCATGTCCTGGTCGGTCGTGATCGAGACAGTGTCGCCCTCATTGTCCATGTAGCTAAGCGCATAGCCATTGTGGCTCAGACGACCTTCCTCAACGACGGCTTCGCCTCCAACCGCCTCAAGCTCGCTGCCCAGCTTAGCAGTAACCTGCTTAACAAGGTCTTCCACGCCGGATGCAACCAGAACGTTGACTCGGTGGACACGGCCACTGGGAGCCTTGAACTTGAAGGGGAACGGAGCATCCTCGGCGGGTTCAAGGTGATGAGAGGCGACTTCAGAGTGCTCCTCTCCATGGTGAGATGCCGATTCATTGGGCAGGACGCTGTTGTCATATTGTGAACGGGCCATGTCAGGGCTCATTACGGAGCGAAGTGGGGTGTGGGGCTGCTGGCTGCCAGACACCATGGAGTCAGATTCATGATCCATGGAGTTCCAGAACTTGTGCCAAGCAGGACCCTCGTCGTCATGGTTGTTCATGGTGCCGATCTGCTCCAAGGTAGCATATGTAAGTTTCAGGACATCTACCATGCCGACAATCTCACCAGCCTCGTTCATAACGGGCAAGTTAAGGTAGTGACCATCTGCTTGAAGGTTAGTACTATCCGGCATCACGTAGGGGTTGTATAAGTAGGCGCTACTGACCGTGCATTTTGCGGAGCGCAGACTGAATGCTCATGTCAGAGGGAGCAAAATCAGGATGGGGAGTCATCACGCGAACCACGCTGCAAGTGGCCGGGTCAAGGCCGGGGGCAATGACCCGAAGAACAATGTCCTTGCTGGTGAAGATACCAGTGATGGAGCCTTGATCCTGAACAAGCAAAGCAGTGGTGTGGTGCTCCTTCATCAAGGCCGCTGCATCCTTGACCGTAGTACGGACGGAGACAGTCACTGGAGGCATACCGTCGAGTACAGACTCAAGAGTAGGTCCAGACATCTTTTGTCGAAGGGCTTCGACGTACTGAATAACTTGTTGCGGTTGGCTGGAGCCCAGTTCCGTTTGCACACCCTCCAATGCATCGTAGAGCTTGCGCGACGAGCTGTATGCGCGTTCAAGCTTTTCCATGGCGTCGTAGAAGCACTTTGTGATATCGAGGATACCAGAGATGTCCTGGTTCTCGTCCATGACTGGCAGATGTCTGAACCCCTTACGCACCATCAGGTCAAGCGCGTCGGTGGCGCTGGTGTCTGTTCGGGCACACAGGGGATTCTTGGTCATAATCTCAGAAACTAAGATTTCGCGAGCCTTCAGACCAGCACCAACGACACGAAAGGCCAAGTCCTTAGCTGTGAAAATGCCGGCAATTCTTTCGTCTTCATCGGTCACCAAGACGCAGTCCTCCCGCTTCGCTGCCATCAGCTGGGCGGCCTCGGCAATGCTGAGCGAGGGCTTGATTTGAAGAGCCTGGGCGGGCTTCAGGGCGAGAACGGTACCGGGAGGGGCCTTGCGGGATCGGCTGGCTTTGCTGGGGTTGTGTTTCTTCTTGAGGTTGGCCTCCATTTTTTGACGGATGGCCTGTTCGGAGAATAGTCTGTTAATTTGTGAAAAATACCAGATGAGCTACCGAGAGAGCTGTTTGCCTTTCTCGGTAGCTCAGAAACACCATCTTCCGTACCTCATCACGCTTGGACTGATTAGCCCGCTGTCTGCTGCTGGCTGCGCTCATGGTGCCGGTGCCGATGTTGCTGCCAATGTCGGAGGGAGGGTGAGAGGTAAGGGAAGAGTCCGGACGGTCGGAACGAGGACGCGGGATGTGAGATGCGTTGGCACCCTCGAAGTCGGGCAATCTTCCTCTGCCGATCGTTTTGTTGGGCGTCGTTCCCCGAAATGTGCCTGTATGCGACATAATAGGGAGGGGAAGGAACTCGACAGAAACTGGACAGAGGGGGGAAGAGGGGGTGCACTGGGAATGAAAATCGGAATGAGACAAAGAAAAGACAAAACAAGGGAGACTGTCGTCGATTCCTTCGATAAAAAGGTAGTCAACCGACGATCCGAACAGGGGTGTTTCTCGCACTCCCGACTGCCGCCAAAGTAAACAGAGCGATTATGTAATTGGTTGGATTGACGGTTCATATCGGACGCTAACGCGTTTAGGGGCTAGTGATGCGCATGACTCCCCCACGTGATACTTGCCTCACCACCGCGTGAGTTCCTCGGGATTCAGGCAACAAGACGCTTCAGGCCATAAGGCGCCAAGGCTACAAGGTCCCCTCCGCACACAAAGCCGTGGGTCTCGCTTAGGGCACTAGGGCTTCCCACAACCACACCCAATACTCCATTCCCGAAGACTGTCTGCGAGAGCTTCGTCCAACCACCCTCGACAAGTCAACCGTACGTTTCCCCCCTCCTTTTCGGTTTTTCGTCCACCTCCTAACGTCAAGCAGACCAATCGTCAAAATGGTCAAGAAGCGCGCGAGCAAGTAAGAACCCCCAACTCCTCCCATGTCCCTCCAAAGACATCGCCCGGTTTCCCATTCGATTTGATATTTGAACATCTCGACAAAAACGACCACATACGCCCTGAAATCCACGGAAGGAGATACACCAGCCAACATATCCAACGAATTGCATCCGCGACATTCAAACACCAATAAGAATGGGAAACCGGAACCGAAACGACAACTTTGATCAAAGGAACACGTCATGAAATGATGCGAACAAGCATACTGACAAACTCTCTAGCGGTCGCAACAAGAATGGCCGCGGCCACGTCAAGCCTGTGCGCTGCTCCAACTGCGCCCGGTGCGTTCCCAAGGACAAGGCCATCAAGCGATTCACCATCCGCAACATGGTCGAGTCTGCTGCCATCCGTGATATCTCCGATGCTTCCGTCTTCGCCGAGTACTCCGTTCCCAAGATGTACCTGAAGCTCCAGTACTGCGTGTCCTGCGCCATCCACGGCAAGATTGTCCGGTACGCTAACATACCTTGAACTGGCCCGTCTCTTGTCTCTCGTCCATGTATTTCTAATTGATTACCCAGTGTCCGTTCCCGCGAAGGCCGCCGCAACCGTGCTCCCCCTCCCCGTATCCGCTACAACAAGGACGGCAAGAAGCTGAACCCCCCCTCAGGCCAACAAGGCTCTGTAAGGAGAGCAGACGGATGATACAACAAAATAAAATGGAGCTAGTCTGAAATGAAATCTTTTATTTTGTCTTCCCTTCTTCCTTTGATATTGTCGGTTCGATCCAACGGTCTTTTTCTCGACCGTAATAGGCCGGCAGCACTGCTATGACGAGGATGAAGGAGAATCGGCGCGGATTGTTTGACGGCACTTGAAAATGATAGGGAGGAGTTCATGCGGAATGGGGTTGGAAATGGGTGCCCGGCTCCTTGTTTCTTTGTTCGTTTCGTGTCTACTCTCTACGTTGATGTCCAGGTGTTTCTTGACCTGCTGTGTACGAGCCACATAATACTGGCTCGTGTATGACTGGAGGGATGGATTGATCCAGCGTTGCTGGCTTCAGAAAAAAAATCTATACCAATTCTCATAAAATGTTCGTCAATTTCTTGTTCTTGTAAGTGCATATTGTATAACATTTCATTGAGTCAAAGCTGTGATCATGTCTGCCCTTGTCTTCATGGATACAGGTAGCCCTTCTCAAAGTAATTACCATACACATCAACAACCCCACTGCGGCCCTTGAGTATCGGGTTCCTGACAATCTTCACCTCGCCCTTCCAGTGTCCCTCGACGAAATGCGTCATGGCGATCCGTGGCGAAGTGCTTGTCGTGGTAAGCCCTGAACCAGAGATACTACGGCGGCCCCTCTCGCGCCTGACAACCCGTTCGTATTCGGCCTTCTTCGAGCGTCTGAACGCAGCTAGTTCCGCAACGAGATCCACATCCTGCACCAAGGTCCCCTGCTGCCCTTTCTTGCCACTGTCCATCAGGTTATGCGTACTAGAAGCAGCTGACGTCACACCCTGCAGCGTGCTAGGATGAGGAAGGGGCGAGTCAGTGCCCGAGTGCGTGGAGTCGTCGTCTGACGGCATCAGCGTGACCTTCTCGTTGAGAGCTGCCATGGGGAAGTATTTGCCCTGATCATTGGCGGGAATGCCGCATTCCAAGTCATCAAAGAAGCTGAAATCGTCTGCGGCGGCGGCCCAAAGGGACTCGGAGTCACGGTCGCCAGTGCTCGATACTGTAGGGTTGTTGCGCTGGCTAGCAGGCTTCCAGGAGGAGAGTCGGGTTGAAGTATCGGTGATTTCGAGGATGATGCGGCGGAGACCGAAAAGAGCGCGGGATCGTTGCTGCTCTGCTCGTAAGCGGGATTGGCCCGGGGTAGTGAATAGTCCGATCCAGCTTGAAGGGTGGCTAAGAGGGCTTCTTGAGAGCAAGCTGTGATGAAGCGGGTGAGCGTATAGAGGATGGGAGAGTTGTGCGGGATGTGTGATGGGATATCGGTCAGGACTAGTGTCTCCAAGTGTGGTATGTGGGATGGATGCAAGTAGGGATATCTACTCTCCTTTCCGCCACGCAAAGGGAGGGATTGGTTTCGAGGGCGTTTCGATATCAGTTCTTGGATCATTTGAGCTCGTTGATTATCGCCAGAGATAGATGAGCTGCAGAGCGGTATCGAGGAGATTGTGTTGGTGCTATGGGTATCATAGTCCAACGCTGAGACTGAGGGTAATGAACTCAGTGTCTGCCCAGTGCCTGAACGAGGAAGTCCGCTATAACTGAGAGTCGGTGAACCAATATCACTTTGGTTTGTAATCGATACTGATCTGACCACTTCCGGAGCAAACGCAGAGCCTCGTCGAGCAGAAGGCAATTGCTCGTCTTCGTATGGTGTAGGTAACGGCTGGACCTTGCCAGTAGCCGTTGCAGGATTCGCGGGCTCAGAAAGGGATGTATCTGCAAGTTCAAAAATTGGTACATCATGGCCCGGCAGCTCGTAGACCTGAGTGTCGTTTGAAGCATCCAGTTCATGCTCATTGGCTACTCTATTGGGTGGCAGCTCTGGAAGAAACTCGCCCAAAGGGGCGGAATCTTTTGCCGGGGGCTCAGCCGTAACCAATGCATGATGTGAACGGAGGTAAGTCAAATGCGCCCCGGCTATGTTTCCAATTACAGGCACAAGCTTTTCAGAGCCTGGGTATTTCCCTCGTTTAGGTGATAATGTCTTCTTATGAATGAAGTCTGCTGTGTGAACCATGCCTGCATCAAGTGCATGCAATCGATATGAAGCCAGAAGACCTGCTACACCTTCAACAGTGAGATCGTTGTGAGAAATGTAAAGATGTGTGATGCCCGATGGTGGCAAATCCTCGATCCATGTATGGCCTGTGGAAGGGCGGGAGAGGATCTTGGCGTAGTGCTCATCAAGCCGGGGCGACTTCAAGAGCTCAGAGCCGGGCCCTTTCACGACGGAGTGAGAGTATGGATCTGGTGAGGTACCAGTACGGCGCAATGGTTGGATCACCTGGCCAGGTGCCTGGAATGACGCTTGTAACAAGGAACGAACCGCCATATCTGTGAGCATGTTGTTGCGCACGTCCAAGAACCGGACCCTTTTCTCAATAGCATTAGCTAGGAATTCGGCATCGGCATCTTTGAGGCCTATTCCGCGTAGTTTCAATACCTGGAGATGCGGAAGTTGGGATATCGATGCCAGAACACCTCGGTCTCGCGCTGATCTGGTATAGGAAAGATCAAGATAGATGAGCAAGGGAAACCGAAGAAGAGTCTCTGCCAATATTGAAGAAGTCGTATTGGGCTCATGGTCTGCCAAAAGCAGACGAATATTGTACTGCACAGAAGATTCTTGGGATTTCAACGCTGCCATCGCATTGTAATCAAAAAATGGCAGGTTTGAAACCATCAAGCACTGCAGGCAGGGGAGATACTCTAGTATGTCTCGGAGCCAGCCAGACCTTGGGCCATCATAGATTTCCGATAAAGCAGGCGGCATATGGAGCGTGTGAGTTAGCGCTCTTACTTCTGGTCTTGCATATTTTAGGGTTCTGCGGAACCGAGTGAGGGCAACTAGTGTCCTGTTAGCTTTGTTGCAGGTGCGTACGTGTCGACAAGGTTTACCATAGACAGCATCATTTTCAATACCAAAGTGCGAGGCTGGATCTCCCCACAAGAAGGGCATGAACAGATCGTGCCATTTGCGGCAGACGAGGAAGCTGCACACAAATCGCTGGACGGGATGTAGTGTGCTATAATTGCCCATGCGTCACGGGCTGTCGCCGATTCATAGGAAGGGGGAAATACATCTATCATCCTGACTCTGAATAGTCTTCAGAATGTAAACTGAGTAGCATCATTAAATGCCGTTGGCCATGCTGGGACAAGAGCGGCAGCACTGGGGAAGATCTGGTGGAGAACGTCCTGCACCGCCCCATTTAATACTCAAACCCGCATCTGATCGCCAAAAAAAAGCGAGCGTCCTCGTCAATACCAGATCCTAAACTTTCCCCTGCAGAAGTCGAGACGAATAGGTAAGTCGCTTGCAGGCAAGGACAAGTGGCGATAGGAGAAAGCCGTGCTGACTAGCAGGGCGCAATACGCCTAACCAGTCCCGGCTTGGCGACCCGTCCCTAACCAATAAATGTAAAGCGACTTTCTGCGACCAACCACAATATGTATGAAATTTCCCCGGGGATCCTCTTTCCCGCATAATTTGAATAGGATATTATTATCCTGGATTCGAACCAGTTTGGATCAGTATGGAGGCATCTCTAGCATTTTGACAGCAGAAATGGATGCAATATCTCTTTATTCAATTTACTGCAAGTTGGCCTTGCCTTTTGCATAACTTATTAGCATAAGCAAGTTATTTCTGAAGTGGAGCATGTACGCTGAAAGTGAGAAGCACACGCTTAGAGCACAACCTAATAATGAGTGACATGATCTAGCGAAATAACGAAATAACCCCGTCGATTGTGACATAAACCCGAAAAAGATCCCACATACAAGCCGAGCGAGATACCCAATGAGATATTGACAACCTAAAGAGTACCCAAGGCTCCATTCCCACCAATGAGGGGGAAACCCAGCTGCCGCCGCATAGCATCCTGGAAGCCCGCATCCTGATCCAACCCAGAGCAGTCAAGACAGCTGCCACAGACTGCATCCTTGCGCAGTCTTGCCTGGATAAGAACACAAGCTTCCGCCCATGCGCAGAGGTTACCCGCGAGCCCTTCATACAGCGAGTAGGGGTCATCAGGCATGCGGTAGTCTTTGTCAGATGGCCCAGGATCGGAGTTATAGGGCTTAGTCTGACGGGCATGCAGCAAGAACGTCAATCCCCTTGACAAGAAATAGTCTGGAGTTAGCTTCTGTGAGAGACGGTCATCAGCAGCGGCCGGGTTCTTTTGCTGGTAAGCGCGTCTAGCATCATCGATCTCTACCGCATGGTATGCGAAAGAGTTGTGCAGAAGAAGCCATGGCCACCCATTGCCGGCAACTCCGTGACACAGGCTTCCGCCTTTGGAGAGGAGGCCTTCCTCCCAGACCCGCTGGGTGGCTAAGTAGATTGCTTGGTCCCATTCGGGACACCAGTAGTCTCGGACCAAAGTGGTGTTCTTAAGTGCCGTCGATAAGAGGATGAGAATTCCCGGGCTTCCATGGCAAAGCTGGACTAGCTCCGAAGGTCGCTTGGTGTCGCCATACGGAGGGGATGTCATAGGAAGGTGTCCATTTGAGGAGACGCTGAGTTTAGATAGCGCTGTGACAGTCTCGCCAATGATAGAAATGTGTGGGGCAAGCTCTTCAGGCTTGCATGAGAGAAGGATTGGGAGGATTCCAGCTACGGGGACACTTTCTTAGTGGAAAATCATATTTCGACGTATTATCGAGGAACTTACCAGTCCCATGGACACTAGATAGGTTTTGATCAGCAGCGTGCTTCCAACGGTCTGGCATGGTCAACTTACGCTCCAAAAGCATAATGGCCCTCCATCCAAGCGTACATCAGAGGGTGAGCACTGTCCTCCCCGTTGTTTTCGATATAAGTCTGAGAGCCCTGACGACCAGCATCAATAATTGCGTCGAGCAGCTTCGGAATCTGACCGAGCACTGGTGCAAGTGATAGCCGAGTCTCATCGTCATATTCATGAGCTCGAATATTTAGAAGCGCCCACAGAAGCCCTGCCCGACCGAACAAAAGCTCGTCTCCCCCATATTACGGCCATTGTGAGGAACTAACGGGCCATTTTGTAATGCAAGCTGAGTAACCTGTTCAAGAGTTGCAATATCCTCCTTGGCAATACTAGGTTTTGAATCCTTTCCCCAGTTGGTCTTTGCCACAGAAGCGAGAATCCGTAGAATGACAGCTCCGAGGGGTGACAATGAACAAGTTGAAAGTCGAGATGGAATAAGAGGAGTTTCAGGAAATCCTGGCGGGATCCGATCCAGAGCGTACTGGCGATAGTTCGGTGACTGGGCACCATCGAGGAGAGGCGCCTGGTAATCGAGGCGGAAGAATGCAAGGGCAATCCCTGCAGCATCAGATCAGTCAGGGGTTCCGGATTTATACACATAAACATATCATATCCAAATTTATTACGAAGCAATGATACATACCATGGAAATGTTTCATCATCCCACCGGCACCCCATTGCTCCGGCAGAGGGTCCTTGGAATGAACTATCTCAGCACCATTGCGGACAGCAGCACGTAGCTCCTCCAGATACTGAGGAAGGGTATTCTGATTAATGGGGAGGGGAGTCAAGTCGTTTTCATAGTACTGCGGGCGTTCAGTCATATTGGCAGGTGATATAAGCTCTCGAAACTGCGGGATGGCGTGCTCGAGTCGCAGGGGGATTGGAAGGCCTGTGCAGACACAGCTCTGCCCCGCCAGTCGAAAGCAAAACACCGCCTTTAAGCAGAAGAGTCCTCGGCAGTTCGCATGGGTCTAGCGTGCGGAATTCCGCACACTAAACAAGGTCTGCATGGGCCGTGCCGGCGTAGATTGGCTCGAATCCCGCGATCGATCGGCTCCACCGCGGGGCATGAACCATGGGTGCTTTGAAGGTACAGAGTTCCCCTTGCAGTCTCCGTAGTATAGGGAACGAATGAGCCGAGATACCTGGCACTATGCCTCATGATATTTGGCGAGGAAATTTGAAATTCAAGAAATCTAAGGAGAGAAGAGATAAGGTGAAATAGTGAAATAGTGCCGCTACGTCATGCAATGGCGATCCCTGGAAACCTGGCTCTGGAACATGGATCTAGCTGGAATTGTAATTACTCAATCCAATATAGCGTGGGAGCCTGTATTGAGCGACGCCGTATGAGCTATTTATGCATGCACAATGAATATGTGCATCAATGAATGATCGAGCTAGATCGCCTCGTGGACCTTAGCGCGTTTACGGCACCGAGTGCTAGTACCGATACCCGGGATGGTTGCCATCTTTCCGCTCTCAAAAGTTCTCTTCGAACTCTTAACCCAGGAGATCCCTATTTCTGCGTGAGAAAACGCGGGAAAAAAAAAAACAATAAAAGGAGATATCGCCTCTTGAGCTGAGGATCACGTCTATTTTTGCTTGGTCATGCATATAGACGAATGAATCATCTGGTAGGTATGAGAGTGGATGTTGCGTATAGAAGGCCATAAGCATGGCTGAGCATCCGTCCAGAATCTGTTGATCCCATTCCAGGATTTCATATTGAACTTGTTTGTCCCGCGCAGCCAAAATTCGACCGCTGGCGTTCATTGCCAGTGCATCTGCAGATTGTGCATAGCTTAAAGACCCAATATCTTAGTTCATCGGAGAGGGTAACGCATTCCGGCGGGGCTGCACTTACCAGTAGCGCTCGTAAAGGCGGGTAAAAAAGCACCCCGCAGACAGATTGGCTGATAATGAGAATATTTGTCGGTTGGAGGGTTCAATATAGAGCACTGCACCTGCTAACCTTAAGTGCTTAGCTTTCCGAGGTGATTTCTCGAAAGTTGCAAGTCAAGGCATCTGATAGGCCTCGCTTGGTATAGTCAAAAAAAAAGCAAGTCTTTCAATGACTATTGTGTCACATCGATTGTGGGGAGCCAACTCTTGAATTGTATTTGTGACATAGATTGGGGAGAGCTGGAGAGTGCCGTACGGTATTTGATATTGTGTAACGTTTTTGTCTTTCCGGTCCTACCATTTCATCCGAAAATCGTGCATGGAGGATATCCAATGAAGTAGGTCAGGACAAGGATGTAGTTGCAGGGCCAATGCGAGCCAATGTTACCTTGTACAACTACGTTGGCGAGGCTAATGCGACCAAATCGAACATGAATCTTCCTTAAATACTTAGACACATTATAGCACCCAGGCGCCATAGATCCAGATGAACTGAAAATGTGTCTCGTCAATTGACCTTTGTGAGGCACTTGAAAGATCTATGCCATTCGAATCCCGTGCTCCCAGTTAGTTACGACTCGTTTAGATAATCAAATTTCTGGTTGAGGTGGTTCGTACTCATCATCCCAATACAATATGTTGACCTACGGCTAATCTGCGAGCGACTTCATCTGTCTTGACGTCAACATGCATACTATTATCTTTAAGTTCTTGAAAGCCGAGCCGACCTAACCTGCATCAGTCTTCGATTGTACTTCTATCATTCAGAAACTCCGTCTAACCGCCATGTCATCTATTCAACACTGGGCCTATTTAAACGTCTCAGGAGTGACAGCCCACGGACCAGTTGGCACTTTTTCAGTCCATTCTCCCCGCGGAGGTCTCCAGAGGAGCAGAATTCCAGGTGCTTTACATTCATGCATCAAGCGACGCCACTCATCACTTGGATTCGGCTTATCAAAATCCACATGCAGCCCCATTACCCGCCGGTACCCGTACTGCTCATACAACCAGCGACCTATCGGACTCCCCTCAGTAAAGCTCTCATACCCCAAGGGATCGATGATCTTATGGCCCCACTCCATAAGTAAGCGACCGACTCCACGGCGGCGATACTTCGGATGCACCCCCATCGCATTCACCCCGGCGTGCGGGCGCTGAAACCATGCCTGGCGCGCGAAGAAGGCCTGGTTGAGCATTCGCTCCGCATACTCCGCTCGCTCGCTCCCGGCAGGGTACCAGGTGCATTTCATGGGCTGGGGGCCATTGGGAAACGGATTTTCATGGAAGATGAGCCACTCGCAGCCGCCAGCTACCTCGCCCGTTTCTTTGTCGATGGCATAGATGAGCGTGGAAGCTGGGTTCTTTTGGCTGGCGGCCCAGCGGATGTCAGCGTCCAGAGCAAAGTCGCGGGCGCGGTCTTCGGGCGTGTGGCCGTTGCAAGGGTGCACGGCAGTCCAAATGGGGCTAGCAGAGGGGTTAGATACAACCTGCACTTGACGAGAAATATGACTTTTGGTAAGGTCGACTCGGGGAGATTTACTTGTAAGGTTGGGAATTGGCGCTCCACAGGCACTCGAGCAGGCGGGTGTATTCCTCTTTGGTTGGGACTACTTTTACTTCGAATTGCGAATCAGCCATGGTGAGGGTTGGAGAGGGGTAGATCGGGCTTGAAGGGGCCGAGGCGGGGCTTAAATACATTGCAGGGCTCGAATGCTTAAATAATTGACAAGGATTAACTATGTTAATTAGAAAATTGATCAAATAGAGCATTAGCGTAGTATTTCTTTGTCTACGGCTTATCTGGTCCGATCCACATTTTAGCCACTAGGCCTCTCCACCTGGGCATCCACCTCGGCCTCCACCTAGGCCTCCACGATCACCCCCTGGTACCGTTTCTTCGCCCAGAACAGGTAGTATAGTACAAAAAGTAGCGTCCACCCTACAAAGATAGCTATACTGTAATTGACCTGCTCAGGCGCCGGGTGCTTTGTTGCTGGCCAGCTTCCGAAAAACATCATGATCACCGAGAACACTATCGCAAAAATATTGTTTGCGACTCCAAGCCAGCCTTTTACTCGGAATGGACCCCAAGCGACAATCTCCTTCGGCACATCGGGGCCGTTTTCCATGATTTCTCCTCTCAATCTGCGATACAGAAGTAATGAGAGGGAAATAATGTAAGATGAGAAAAATGCCTGCAGGACCAGTGAGAGGACGATGTTGAGGACCGTCTCAGATCCAATGTTGATCAGACTCAGGAGGCTCGAACAGATGACAACCACAAGCGTGCTGTGAATGGGGATCGAAAACCGCTTGCTGACCTGTCGAGTAACGCGTTATTAGACGGCCATTCATGTGCAAAGAATTGGGGTTGGAAGGGTTACCTGGCTAACCCATTGCCATCCAGGTACGGCCTGTTCACGAGAGAATGACCAAAGCATACGAGCGCCAGATGCAACACCAGCAAGCCCGGCACAAGCTTGCAATACACAGACCATGCTAGAAAGCACGACTGCCGCGCTCTTGCTCTGCGTTGCGTTCTCAATAATTTGAATGAAGGGGTAGGGAGAGCTGGACTTCAATATGCTCATGATATCTCCAGCGGCATAGAGGAAGGTCAGCATGACACCGAAAGCGAGGCCGCCGTTGATGAGGATTGCCGCAATCATAGAGTGTGGAACCACAGTGCTACTATTTGCCACTTCTTCAGCCATCTAAAGAGGATGTTAGCGAAGGGATATCACGGATGAGTTTTTCCCATTTAATTACATACGTGGACAGCGCCATCCGTCCCTGCATAAGAAATTAGTCCAAAGTTCTGCCGCGAGTCATGAATCGGATCTTACCGAGGAAAGACGCGACTGCTCCTTTCATCCCAATAAATGTCGCCAATGTGATATCATTCCACCCACCAAGCTCAAACGATGTCGACCAGACAGCCTTGGTGCTTGATCGTGGGCCCAGATATAAGACTGGGATCAAGACGGCAAAGAACCCGAACACATGGATGAATAAGATGAATACTTCAATAACTGGCAAGACCATGCCCAGGATCGTGCTCATAGTCGTAATGACGGCCAGCACAGCCCACATGATGAGTGTGACCTGCCATCCTTTTGGCTCGTAGCTCGGAATGTTCGTCGCGATGGTGGTTTGAAGAACGCTGCTAGCCAAATAAATGGCTGCCGTGGGCGCAGCTATCCATGCGACGACACAAATACAGCCTAACATCATTGAGACCAAATAGCCTCAGACAAGGGTACGATTGAATACAAACCGGTGATGTAGCTCAGGAATCTTTTAGCGGACTGAGGAGCCAGAATCGCCGTCCAATGATACTGCCCACCAGCCTAGATTGCGAATTAGAACCAGGCGGCTTTGGAAATTGTAGATACCCCATGGGGGCTCCTTACCGCAGGCATCATGCTTGCCAGCTCTCCCAGGACAGTGACAACGCTGATGAAGCCAATCCAGACTCCTATGAATCCGTATACTAAACCAGCCGGACCTCCGCTGGGAATTGGTTAGTCAATCACCCAAGACGATAGTGCCCTCTGGAAAAGCAACCTACTTTTCGAGGCCTACTGATAAGTTCCTAGATATTTGTTAGACAAGATTTGTTAGACAAGGACAGTCAACCGTGGAAGGGGGAATTCACATCATAATAGCTTCCCACGTTAGCATCAAGCTACAAGTAAACCCGATCGTACTTGTCAAACTGAATCTTCGCTGCAGAGCAATGAGCCATCCAGTCTATGAGGACCGATGCACAGGGATTTCTTACCTTCAAAACATCCTTCTTGCCTGCCCTGGCAAGTTCGTAGGCATCGCGATCTCTTGTGTCTCCACTAGCTTTAGTGGAGGTAACAGGGGTCTTGCCGCCGCCAACAACCGAGCCAGAACGGCTGTCGGCTGGGCCTAAACTGCGCATTTCCATATCCATCTTTGCAGGCCACCAGCAATGATGACAATGTCAGGGAGTGAAATACTAGAGACAGCCACGCGGAAATGCTCGCTCGACGCATGCAGATAAAACAAAAATGCCCCTTAAATCTCTAGGACCCCATGTGATTTTTCTGGTCTGTTTTATAAAGCTCCCATTGGTGTGTGCAGCTAGCTCGATTGCGATAACAAAGCAGATCGGGCGTCTGCACTTCATTGAAAAATGACGAAGAAATTGTTCGGGGTATTTGAGCAAGATTTACCCCAAAAAAGGTCTGCTCCAACCGACGGAAAAGCCCCCTTGAATTTCCATAGTTGGCTAGTGAATATGCAAAGTGTCGTAGTTTACTCATGACGAGGGGACGAAGTACGAGATACGGTATTTCCGATACGCCCACATGCAGGTTAAAAAGGGTTGTTGATGTACCATTGCGGGTATTAAATGAGCCATACCACGGGGGCCCCGGTCTTTGGGGGCCCCAAGCTTTGGGGGCCAGTATGCAACATTCCCCACCCGACGCAGCCACCTTCGCCCGGCACGTATTGGATCATCACACGGACTTACGAACCGGCCGTATACGCAGTTTGTTCCCGATCTTCCGATGTTGAAGATCGCCGTCGGCCTTGCTAGATTTAGAGTTTCCTGCTTGGCCCCAACAGCTCAGTGCTACATAAAGGGCGCTTGACTATTATCCAACATGGGAGTATGGCTTGAAGATCTGCAGGAGCTAACGCTGGATGTACCCCAAGCCTAAATGTGTTTAGAACTGATCGCCTCGATCAGGACATACCCATCGGAGGAAACCCTTGGCACCGAACCCGTGCTTAGTACTGTTATATTGGTGGCAATTTCTCGTTAGCTAAATCTTGGAAGTTGCTCCTAGTACCTGCATTGTCTCTGCGAAGCAGAAAGTGCTTTGTGTTCTAAAACGCAACAATGGAGGATCATACTGCTGCTGTCAAGATCGTCAGCTGGTTCCTGGCAATAGTGTCAGCAGGGGCTTTTGTCACAAGTCTGCTAGCAAGTAGGCATTTACTAAGAAGAAAATGGCTCAGCTTCACGCTCCTTTTCAGCGCTCTGGTACTGCCGCCTCTCTATGCCCCGGAAAGGAGCTATGCTGACATTCAACGTAGGCTTCTAACATTGGCGCATGCGTCGCTGTCTCTTTTGCGGCTACCTATGGCCTGGGTAAATCGCCCAAAGCTTGTTCAGGTGGTTCGCTGTCTGCGATGCAGAAAGCTTTCTATACCGTTGAGATACTTCAAGCGCTCACCCTCGGCCTCGGAAAGCTTTCCTTGGTTGCGTTGTTCGCCCTTCTCTTGTCGCCCAATAAGTTGAAGAGAATCATCATCTCAATTACAACCGTCCTCGGTCTCTGGACTGCATCGATGATGGTGGCAACAGCAGCCCAGTGTTCTGCGCCCAATGTCTGGGATTTGGCACATGGGTCCTGCATTGATGTTGTAAGTTGAGTTCTTGGTCAAAAGAAGGGAAAGTCGTCCTGAAATGGTCTAACGTGTTCAACAGGCTGCTCTGTGGAGATACTGGGGTGCGACAAATATTCTCATCGAAGCTTTGATGCTCGGGACGGTCGTCTTTGTGGTCTCGCGCCTTCACATGGCATTTTGGACCCAGGCCATAGTCATCGCCTGCTTCAGCGCTAGAGTGGTGTAAGTCTTGAAATTTCAATGATGGCATCGATATATTCTGACGAGCTGCTATATACAGAGATATCGGTGTCACCGCTGTTCAATTGAACTACAGCCAAGCATTCTATGCGCGCGGTTGCGATCTTCAGCTACAACTTTGGCCATGGGCGATGTGCGGCCAGGTCCTGCAAACAGTAACCATCATTTCCGCATCGATCCCACACTTGCGTGATTTCTTGGAATCTTTCCCGAGTGGAATGCTCCGTCTCCATGAGATGGACTCGAAGACAAAACTTACAGATTCTGGGGCCCGCACGACATTGAAGAGTCCGATAAGAAGCCAGCATTAGCTAAATATAGAATAATATGATTCCCAATATTTATTTGCATTTAGTCTCTGCTAGTTGGTCCTCCATTCAAAACAGGCCCTCCACTAAAACATGGCAATGATCATTTCAATACGTCAAACTTAGGAATCTTTCTAGTTTATAGAAGCAACGTCGAGCGCAGGTCCAATAATAGGGTCTCGAGCGACAACCTCGTCCCTCTTGTTGATAGCAGCAACGTCGATCGCAGGCCCGATGTTTGGGTTTCGCGCCTCGATATCTCTCTTGTTGATAGCAGCAACATCAATCGCAGGCCCAATGTTTGGGTTCCGCGCTTCAACCTCTTCACGCTTATTGATGGCGGCGACGTCGATGGCGGGACCGATGGCAAGGTTTCTGGCTTCGACTTCATCGACAGGGACGGGTCGAGCGAAGACGGTAGTCGTAAACGCCAAGCTGAGGAGAATGGAGGAACGCATGTTGACTTAAAGATCAATTAGTCGACAATAAAGTTGGAGTGTCGAGTGATTCAAAGACTGTTCTCACCTCAATATAGCTTCTATACGCCTAAATTATTATGGAAGAGTAGAGTTTGCGGGAAGTCTTAGAAGATGTCTTCAAGTTGATAGGAACAAGTTCTCGAGAAAAATATGTGCTCTTAGTAGAACAGCGAAGGCCTTGTACTAGGTTCTGGTACACGTAACAGCAGTATCGGCTTGCCAATAAGACCCCACCGACAGGAAGTCATGCCTGAATCAACGGATGGAGAACGTTGATCAGCGGCAAGGCGTTCCTTCAGGATTCAATCTTAAGGCATTCTGCACGGAAGAGGAAGTTTCTGGGTAAGATTTACCTGTTCTGTCAGTGTTGAATCCACTCGGCAATCACTTCGAAATGCATGTAACCCGATATCAACCGAAGGATAACAATCCCTGGCGATTTACTCCATACAATGGTTTATCACCGGATGCCTGCGGTTACAGCTAGTTACAGGTTGGTATCTGGGTACGGGCTGTGCTCTGTGGTCGATTCTATTGGCCCTAGGCCGGCAATTCACCTCACAGAGACCAAATTGAGGGTCTCCGAGACCAAGTGGAGCAATTCTGCAGAACTTAGCGCTTCAGAAAGTTTATTTGCAGGTAAGCGTGGGGGCCGTTGGGTTTACTCGTAAGTGGGAAGCTGTTGGCCAGAGATCGACGGAAGATCAGCAGCTGTTGGCGGCAAAGCCGCGCACTCGATGCAACACCACACGCCCAATGCAATAGTTTTGATTCGCTCTCAGTATCTTTTCAAGCTATCAAATGCCACTATGGGTCTTGCGTATTGCCCAGAAAACGACGAAGGATTGAACTCACATGAAGCACAGAATAACACAGCAAACCCCGATAGTAGGAAATAGCTCCTCCCGTTTGATTCCCTATTAAGCGCGGATTCCGACGCTACCTTGTAGCCAACGTGACAAAAGAGGCGTGTTGCTGATCCCGAATTTTAAGGACACGCTGAAGTCTTCGGTTCCCCATCTAGACTTCGAACAAGCATCTCACTGTTCAATATGCACTCATATCAAAAGATTGAAACGGCCAGCGATGATGAGGCCCAGTATCCAGTTGTCCTACAGCGACCTTCAAAGGTCCAGTTATGGTCAACACGGATTCTAGGTCTTCTCGTTCTTGTCCTATCATTCACGCTCGTTTGGGGCTGGCAATGCTACGAGGAGCTGCGGAGCAGCATCTCCAGTCCGGGATCAGATGTCCATGAGATATTCTCATCACAAAAGTCACCATACAGTAAGGCACTTTTACAAGCCATATTCAACTGCAAGGTATTGACTAGTGTTATAGCGGGGCTCGGATACGATGTTGAAGTTCCATACACGCATCACACTAAATATACATCGCACAACCTGACCGAGGCGAACGAGGCATGGGAGGGTTTAAGCATCGACCCTATGGTCATTGCGCCAACGAAGGAGGAACAGGCAAGCCTTGGGCTGCCTGAGTCCTGGCAATTCCCATGGGACTCTAACCGAAACATTTACTTCGTGAAAGTGTTCCATCAAATGCACTGTTTGGTCAGTTGGTCCTTCCACAGATACCTTTCCGAACTACCACTAAACGTATTTCCAGAAAGTCATGCGCAAAACATACCACGAGCTCTGGGCCGGAGAGGAGGGTTCTATTCCCCCCGGGCACATCGAGCACTGCCTAGATACCCTGCGCCAAGACCTGATGTGCAAGGCAGACGACACCCCCATGCCCTCCCTCGAGCTCCTCAACGGCGGCGGCGAGAACCAGAATATGCACTGCAAGAACTTTGACAAGCTTGTGGAATGGACCCAGGCCCCCGAGCGCAACGCCTGCTACAAACGACTCACCGACTACAAGACGATTGTCCACAGCATCGAGCGATACGCTTTCTGCCCCCGCGATAGCGAGCACTATGACACCATGGACCAATATTTCAAGGAACATGGCCACTTTGCTGATCCCTTCAGCGAGTGAGTGGATCCAGGAGGGGCTGGAACAAAGGGAGAAAGTTGCCCCAGTGGGACTGCGAGCCCCCCGGCGGCCCCAGGTGGCCCCCGGCTGTTGGCGCCACAGCGGGTCTGTCTGGCGAACCCGCGGACCAATTGTTAGTGCTTACAGTTACGCCCGCTACGTAGTGTACAGAATATGGTTCTTTGTTTTTTCTTCCTTGAGTGGAGTAATGATCGGCCCTAGTAGTAGATACGAAGCCCAAAGGATGTAACCTAAGGTGCAGAGGCGGGGCCGCCGACTGCCCTGATCGGCCCTGAGAATCCCTGGTCAACGTGGGACCATCCAATAGAAGTGAAGTCCAAGTCGCTAGTATTGTGGACGTGGGACTCCGTAGATGATCAGCACTTATCGCTATTCCCCTCTTCCTCCGTCTTATCGCTACACCTGGTGTGCTGTTTTATACGCAATTGCTGCCCTTACCAGCTCCGTGGTCTGTCCATCTCCGATGAAGAGTCGCTACCTTGCTAAGGGCCATGGAGCAGTCCCAGCAGAAGTCAGCTTATTTAGAAGAAGGCAGTGTTAAGCCAGAGTCAGACAGCTTGTCCACGCCCGAGATAGTAGACTTCGTCGAAAACGACCCATTGAATCCCCTCAACTGGTCCAACACCTACAAGTGGTTTATTGTCGTTCTGACAGCTCTTCTCAGCACGATAATGTATGTGCTGACCGATTATGCCTCCAGCTATCTCACTTTTGCTATAAGGTACTAACAAATTTCTCTATACCAGCCAGTTATGCACAATTATAGCAGCGCCTGTCTCGCCATCGATTCTAGCTGAGTTTCATTCGGATAATTCTCTGTACCGTACCCTGATTGTTTCGATATGGGAGCTTGGTGAAATTGTCGCTCCTCTCATGTGGGGGGCCTCTTTCTGAGCAATATGGTCGACAATGGGTTCTTCACGTTGCCAACCTGCTGTTCTTCGCCTTCCTCGTGGGGACGTCTCTAAGTACCAGCATTCAGATGCTTATCGCCTTCCGCTTCCTCAGCGGGTCAGTCACCGCAATAAATTCCATCGGATCTGGCATTGTGAAAGACCTATTCACAGAAGACCAGTGTGGGCGCGCGGTCTCCGTCATGTCTCTGACAGGTGCTATTGGACCAGTCATTGGGCCTATCATCGGATCATACCTCGGCGAGAGAGCAGGCTGGCGATGGGCTTTCTGGTTTCCAACCATCGTATCTGGGGTCCTATCCGTATTGCTTCTGGCAATCTACCGGGAGACTTACAAGGTGACTATCCTCAAACGCAAAGCTAGGAGACTCGCGCTTGAGAGCGGAAATGAAAACATCCGTTCAAAATACGACAAGGCAGATGAGTCGACGGGGAAACGATTATGGAGCACCGCAATCCGCCCGCTTCACCTGCTGTTCAGATTCCCTTTACTGGCCTTGATCACATTCTACATAAGCATTGTGTATGGGTTCGTCTACCTCATTATGACAACGATCGCCCCTGTCTTCCAGTCTCAGTACGGGTTCTCTGAGGGGGCGTCGGGTCTTAGTTTCCTAGGTTTATGCCTGGGACTCGTTTGCGGCGCACTTCTGTGTGGATGGGTCCTCGACCGATACATTCGTTTTGTAAAGAGCCGGAGGGAAGGACAAGAGTTCGATGCTGAGCAGCGCTTAGCGCCTGTTTCCTTCGCCTGTCTACTGATGTGCGGTGGCTTCCTAGTCTTCGGCTGGACCGTTCACTTCCACGTTCAATACGTGGTCCCCATTATCGGGACCGGGATGATTGGCCTCACTCTTGCAATCAACAGCATTTGTGTCCAGGCTTATATCATCTCTTCTTTCGGAATATACGCTTCGAGCGCAGTTAGTGCGATGCTCGTGCTAAGGAATGCAACAGCGGCATTTTTACCTTTGGTGGGCCCCCCCCATTTTCGATAATCTGGGGTACGGTTGGGGTGGAACCCTCATTGCTTTACTGGTGCTGGTTTTCGCGCCAATGCCGCTTTTACTGATCCGATTCAGCAAGAAACTGAAGGCGAAGGGTGCCCGTGATATGATCGTGGAATGATCTAAATGAGCGAGAATATGATAATCCACACGATGCTCGAGTCCGCAGTACGCTGACCTATATCATTCTCCATTTCCATAGTTGCCAAAGTAAGCGCGTCAAGGGAGTTGTGCTGACGGTCACCCAAGTTTGAACCTTGGAAGCTCTACTGGCCACTGCAGAAGTGTTGCCCAAACGGAAAGAGTGTGACCCAGGTTATTATAATAACCAAGGACAATTTGCTACGGACGCTCTAGTACCATTCCAGTTGAATAGGAACGACTTGTCACACGAAGCTACTTGTATAGTAGAAGAGCCACGGGCTTTTCGGCGATACAAGGCTGCCAGTACAGCGGATGACCTATCATTTCATCTGAAAACAAGAGATGAGACAGACTTTTCGTGGTTGAGACTGTTTTTCTGTTGTTGCTGTCGAGCAGCCTTAGAGCGCGTCGAGAGTCGTTCTCTCTTCTCCATCTTCCACGCTCACTCTGTCATTTCTATCTTTAGCACCCTCTGCCACTCATCCCCAGGCAAATACTTTAAAATGGCGTCCCAAACTCCCGCGTCTTGGGGAAATGTGGCCGTCCAGCATCGTCCTCCGTGGATCTGGTCATCAAATGCAAACGTCCAGTGAGATGCATTTGTCATGTCCTCGGAAAAGCTGTTGTTTCTAACCCAGAAAGCGTTGCCAAGAACCTCTCGTGGTTTGAGGATGACTACCTCCCAATCTCGTCTTACTATACAGATACTCTTCAAAACCAATCGACCCGGATTGTCGGAATCGGTACGGTCATTCTGCCCACTCGGAGCCACCCAAACAATCTGCTGCGCGAATACAACGAGAATATCGTCCTCCACAATGTCCTCCACGCGCCTGAAGCCCATTTCAATCTCATTGGAAGGCCACTTCTGGAAGAGTACCAGGTGACTACCCACAACGGCGGAGAAACTCCCAGTTACATTAGTCGAATTTCTGATGGCGAGACGGTGGCCTTTTTCAAGCCCCTGGGCACGAATATCACGGAGTTCGAACTCCAACTCAACTGTCATCGACGATTCTATGAAACGGGACACCCTCCGTTGCCTCCATACGAAGTGAACATATTGCAAGCCTACTGGCCTGCTAAGGAGCAGGAAAATGTTGAAGCCACCTTGCAAAGGTACAGGCTGATCTCGATGAATCCGGGGCACCCGTCACGCCAATTCCCCCAATTGGCTTGTCAGCAACGGGCCCATAACTGACTAACGTCAAGGATTTTGCCAATACAGCGTCCTATTAATCAGACTCATGGTAAATTCTTCCAGGACCGCGGTTAGATGAAGATCTGCTAAGCTTTTGTCTTACGCCCATAGTGCTACGTCGCAAGCCCAAGGACGCGACACTTGGACGCAGTTTATGTAATGTGGTAGATCTAAATGGAAATACAGTGAAAGAAGAGTGCATGTCTTTGGTTTGGGGCCAATCTTCCGTTATGATGGTGCCATATCAGTCCGTCTAATACAGCTGAAGTTTCATAAGTCATGTCTGGTGTCCAATCCCTCTGTACTGATCATATATGTAATGCTCGCTACTCACAAAGTACTAGCAGTCCTAGCGGTGCTCTCGCAGAGACCCGGCGGGGATAAATGAAAAAACCAATAACTGGGAGTGTCTGGTTTACATCAATAAGGCCTACATGCATTTTCACCTAATAAATAAGGCATCGACGTTACTTAATATGGATGATGAGTCATCAGTGGCTCCCGGGTCGCGCACACCAATTTGCGCTGAGGCCATACTCGAGAATACTCACGCGGTCCTCGAAGTGCCAACAGCTTCTAGAAGCAGTACGGAAGGTTAGTTATAGAGATTCCCTGTATACTTCAAGGACATGGAGAAGCCAGAAATTATCCTGAGCCTTCTCCAGGCTTTGATATCTCCATGGTCATGATATTCGACCTCCTTCTCTGTTTTTCGCCCCGTTCCACAGTTTACTGCTACAATGAGTCCCGACTGATATGGTATTTAGTCCCGTGATCAGCGTATGCTAGGCAATACAATTCCCACCACCCATCATGTCTGAAGTCCATGGCGACTCAGATCAGCCCTCGATGGCCCCAGACCTAGAGTATCCTGTGGCTCTAGCGCCGCGGCAGGTGACGCTCCGGGATCGGGTTACCATTGCGACCCTGATGCCTTTTGGCTCGGCAGAAGAGGTCCCCAGGTCTCTGCTGAAGTATCTTTCTGATCAATTCAACAAGGAAATTGAAAAGGGAGACACATACGCCATGTCTGAGCCGATCCCACTTGCTCAATTCGGGCGATATTGGTTCTCGACGTTTGGTGTAGTGATGCTTCTAGGCGAGATCCAGAGTGTTCAACAGACCCACGCCATGGATAAAGCAGGCGCCAATTGGACTAAGCTTTGTCTTGGAGGGTTCCACATTCGACCTAATTACCCCGGAAGAAGTAGTCATGTCTGTAATGGGACGTTTATCGTCACGGATGCTGCTCGAAACAAAGGTGTTGGTAGATTGATGGGTGAAGCGTATTTGGAATTGGCGCCTCGCTTGGTGAGTCACATCTAATGCATGCGAGCAAATATCAGAATCTCACCTTTGCTTTCCTTCCAGGGATACACGTATGCAGTGTTCAACCTGGTGTATGAGACCAACGTGGCTTCGTGTCGTCTTTGGGATTCCCTCGGCTTCAAGCGAATCGGCAGAGTACCAGGCGGAGGCCAACTCAAATCTCAACCCGGTGAATTTGTAGACGCAATCATATACGGTCGAGGGCTTAGCTTAGACGGCGAGGATTCCGTCTCACAAGACCGATTTGAGAAAATTCGGTACTATCTCAAGCACTCGAAGTATCCCCGTGGCGCCGACCGCGCAGAGAAGAGTCGCCTCCGTAGTGCAGCTACCCATTACAAGCTGACGGGAGGTGATGGCGGCGAGCCAGAGAAGTTGATGCTTAAGGACAAAGAAGTTGTTTCAGACCCACAACAACAGTACGAGATCGCCAAGGAGGTTCACCTTCGACAACACGCCGGTATCAACAAAACCACCGCCGCCATCGCCGTCAGATACCACTGGGTACGCATCAAAGAAACCGTCAACCGAGTCATCCGCGACTGCCCCGAATGCAAGGAAACACTCAAGGCTCCTCCAATCCCTGGTCTCAAGGATGACGAACAGTCTGGCTCTGCCGACACAGGAGTGGCCGACGATGCAATGGACGACGCTCATGAGCATGACATGCCACAGACCATGGACGAAGAACCCGATGACTCACCTCGCCACGATCCGTTTATGAACCCATCAGCCACTGCCCCTGCACCGGCGCCCGGGACTGTACATCCCATGGCAAGCTTCAACCCGGTGCCCCTCGATCCGCAAATCATGCAGTTTCAGCAGCAACTGCGGCGCTATCAGCAGCAGAATGCGATGGCCAGTGCCTTCGCACCACCGAACCCACAAACCATGAATATGAGCTTCGATGACACCATGCGCTACCATACCGCCAATAATGCCTACCAGATGATGGTCGATGATGGCTCCGATCCATTTCGGCAGGAGGTTCTGGGATTGATGAATCCGTCGGCACACGATCTGCAGCATGAGGCGGATTTACTTGCTAGGTATGATTATGGGAGTCCTGGCGACGGCAACTACGACCTCAATTGAGCAGGTCTCGATTGAATGGATGTGTTTTCATATATATATTGTATTCTCTATGGCGTTGAGAAAAGGGGTTCGAAGAATCTCGGGTCTTCTGTGTCGCGCGGCTAAAATTAGCCTTTGGATTTGTCATTTTGCCCGTCCACCTGCATAGCTGGTTATTCTGAAGCTGGGTCACATTAATACATTAGTGCATATCTGAATAATTAAATAATATAGCTGATCGAGCAGCATCTTTCCGGAAGGTATTTTGAGCTGTGCGGATACGGCACACAGTGTGTAGAGCCCCTGGAGCTGGTCACCGCCCGGCATTACGGAGCATTTGGGGGGGAATCACAGCTTTGGGAAATTTTGGTGGTCGAAGATCAGCGAAACCCCTCCGATACCCTGAACGGTCGGGAACACCAACTCCTTTCCTTAATTCCATCGCTTCCTACCTTTCGTCTCCCGGTTCCGGTTTACTAGGTTTCACCATGGCCTTCGCCGGCCAAACACCAACCATTGTCGTGCTGAAGGAGGGTCCGTGATTCTTTCCCCGGAGCAGTGTGGGATGGCCACCGCTAACGATTGTCGCTTTTTATAGGCACCGACGCTTCCCAGGGCAAGGGCCAGATTATCTCCAACATCAACGCCTGTGTCGCTGTTCAGTCAACCGTTAAGAGCACTCTCGGCCCCTACGGTGGTGATCTGCTGCTTGTTGATGCCAATGGCAAGCAGACTATCACTAACGATGGAGCCACCGTGATGAAGGTAACGGAATTCTTTTTTTTTCTCTATGGTCTCCTTTAGAGGCATCTCGTCCCACTCTTCAGCTGTGTTTTCACCACGAGAAAGCCATGCTCATTTTTGTCTTGATAGCTTCTCGATATTGTTCACCCCGCCGCTCGTATCCTTACAGACATCGCCCGCTCCCAAGATGCCGAAGTCGGTGACGGAACAACCTCAGTCGTCGTTCTTGCTGGTGAGATTCTCAAGGAGGTCCGAGACCTTGTCGAGCAGGGTGTTAGCTCGCAGACCATCATTAAGGGATTGCGGAGAGCCAGCGCCATGGCGGTCAATAAGGTTAAGGAGATTTCGGTCAACGTACTCAATGAGGCCGACACGGAGGAGAAGAAGATCGAGACCCTTCGACGGCTAGCTGGCACAGCCATGAACAGCAAGCTTATCAAGCGGAATTCTGATTTCTTCACAAAGAGTGAGGATCCTCCCTGACTGACTCTTGGAATTAGAGATGGATTGCTAATTACGTTTCTTTTCTTCTCTTTCTTTCAGTGGTTGTTGATGCCGTGCTCTCGCTTGACCAAGACGATCTCAATGAAAAGTTGATTGGCGTGAAGAAGGTAACCGGTGGTGGACTCCAGGACTCCCTCTTCGTCAACGGTGTCGCTTTCAAGAAGACCTTCTCCTACGCGGGATTCGAACAGCAGCCTAAGTCCTTCAAGAACCCTAAGATTGTGTGTTTGAATGTCGAGCTGGAGCTCAAGAGCGAAAAGGATAATGCGGAGGTCCGTGTCGAACAGGTCTCCGAGTACCAAGCTATCGTGGATGCAGAATGGCAGATCATCTTCAACAAGCTGGAGGCTATCTACAAGACCGGCGCCAAGGTGGTTCTCAGCAAGCTGCCCATTGGTGATCTTGCTACGCAGTAAGCATTACTCCGTTCGGTGTATACAAATGACACATACTGATGACCGGCTCAATAGGTACTTCGCGGACCGTGACATCTTCTGTGCTGGTCGTGTCGCATCCGATGACATGGACCGAGTCTGCCAGGCCACCGGAGCCGCGACACAGTCGACCTGCAGCGACATTCAGGAACGTCACCTGGGAACCTGCGGATCTTTCGAAGAGCGCCAGATTGGCGGAGAGCGCTTCAACTTATTCTCCGAGTGCCCTGCGGCCAAGACCTGCACCCTCGTGCTGCGTGGTGGTGCGGAGCAGTTCATCGCCGAAGTGGAGCGCAGTCTGCACGATGCTATTATGATTGTTAAGCGTGCTCTGCGCAACACCACCATTGTAGCCGGTGGAGGTGCTACTGAAATGGAGCTGTCCGGTCACTTGCACGGCTACGCGGACCGCAATGTCCCGCACAAGCAACAGGCTGTGGTCAAGGCGTTTGCCAAGGCCCTGGAGGTCATCCCCCGCCAGCTGTGCGACAACGCCGGCTTCGACGCTACAGACATCCTGAACCGCTTGCGTGTTGAGCACCGCAAGAACAATGTTTGGGCCGGTGTGGACTTTGACAACGAGGGCATCCGGGACAACATGCTTGCTTTCGTATGGGAGCCCACTTTGGTCAAGGTGAACGCCATCCAAGCCGCGGTGGAGGCTGCCTGCCTTATCCTTAGTGTTGACGAGACAATCAGTAAGTGACCAATCGAATACCCGGACAGGGTTTCATGATAACAGAACGCCGTATCTGACTAATGAACTTGCAGAGAACGAAGAGTCCGCCCAGCCTGGTGGTCCCCCACGCGGTCTCCCTCCCGGTGCTGCACAGCGTGCCCTCCGGGGCCGTGGGCGCGGAATGCCCCGCCGTGGATGAACGAGTTTATGCCATGCTATGATGGTTTCTGACAGAGAAAAAATAAGTGAAAAATTTTTTTAATGAACCGAGTCTGGGGGAAGAGGGCTCCACTTCAGTGTGACTATTGAGAAATATATGTTGCAATACCTCACGTACAGGGAGAATAGAACCATGAGTCTTCGAGACTCTTTTCACCATCTCTCGAGTTCTCCCATGGATGAAGAGCAGAGGGAGCTTCGGTCTCGCCCTCGCGAGCACTAGTAGCGTTCATAATAATTTAGTAGCTTTTAGTCAATCTCTCATCCTAAGAAGCCTAATTCTCATGGACTGGTCCCTTGAGGCGATAGAGTTCTATGTACAAGCACGCAGATATTCAATCAGCATTTGGCATCTGCGAAACCCTGCACGAGGCCGGAGACCCTGCCCATAGCCTTTGCTTGCGGACATTATCGATCTAACGATCTCCATCCGACGCTTGACGAAGCTACTTCCGAGTCTGACGCGGGTCATCCTGTTTCAATGCACAAAACCTTTTGCGACCTGTACTGTTGCGAGTCAGGTGTATGCTGCAATACCCACAACCCAGCTCAGTGGACCGACGAGTCCTGAGTGTTTGCATTGTATGCCATGTCCTAATAGCATTGATGATAATCGCGGAGATTCCATCCAATTTTCGTTCTTCCTCGCTTGAGGGGCTCGGCTCGGTTGGGCCGGACATTGCAGTGATTCGCGACTTTCGGAGCGGCCGATGGGCTGAGCCTGCAGGTGAGATATAACTAGTCACTGAGTACTTACTAAAAAAAAAAAATAGGGGGCGGGGTCATGCCTTCCTTTTAGATTCTTTTAGTTCTGGTCTTCATTTTCAGTTTTTCCTGCAAATCAATCTCTGTTCTGTTCTATTATTGAGGAGCATTTGCAGCCATCAGCCAGCCCTATTTCTTGTAGATCGCGACTTGTCCCAGGGTACCTACCTGCCAACTCCGGTAAGTGGCAATGTTAGTCGATCACAGTTCGCGCGCGTCTCTGCCCGGGCTCCAGGACTCAATTTCCTATTTTTATAAGCCCGAATATTGTAAAGGATGTGAATTTCTCTGATTCCAAATTCTTTTTATTCCCTTGATCCCCTTCCGATCGCATATTCCATCATTGCGGGTCCCGTACTTCCGAGAGATCTCGGCCTTTCTCCACATCCCCCAGGGCATCCCTCCTTTCACTGTTTTTCTTTCGTCCTCCTCCACTTCACATCATTCACCATGTCTTACTATCCGCCCTACTCGGATGGTGCAGGGTATCCCCCTCCTCAGCCGTCCGGCTATCCCCCCACAGCACCAGTACCCGTATGCTTGATCTTTCCCAGGCCGCGCGGACGGTCGCCCGATGGCAGAGCTGAGCTGACCCAATCTTTCGCGCAGACCCATGCATCACCACCAGCAATCCTACGGCGGCGGCGGGGGCTATCCTGGCCAGCAATACCACCAACAACAGTCGCAAAACCCTTATGGATACTCTCACTCCCCCCAACCTCCGCCCCAGCCCTACGGGTCGCCTGCCCCGCCACAGGGCTACAACGTATGTCATACTGCATTGCCTTCTTCTCGGCGCCTGCGCGATGTGGCATCGACAAAGAACTGACATGGATCTTAGCAAGGGCCTCCCCCGGGCTACCAGCAACCACCCCACGGTGGTCCTCCGATGTACCAAGGCCAACCCCGCCCAGGTCCAGGATACGGTGGTGGCCACCACAGCGGTGGTCCGCCACCTCCACCCACGGCGCCGGTCTCCTTCGGCAACGGCGCGCCCCAAGGCTACAACTTTCAGTACTCGCGCTGCACGGGTAAGCGCAAGGCGCTGCTGATTGGTATTAACTACTTCGGCCAGAAAGGCCAGCTGCGCGGATGTATCAACGATGTCAAGAACATGTCCAGCTACCTAAACCAGAACTTCGGGTATGCTCGTGAAGACATGGTTATCTTGACGGATGACCAGCAGAACCCTATGAGCCAGCCAACTAAGGCGAATATTCTGCGCGCCATGCACTGGCTTGTTAAGGATGCCCAGCCTAACGACTCGCTCTTCTTCCACTACTCTGGTAAGCCGCTCGCTGAGACCATTTGGAAGATAGACATAATAGCTAATCACTTTGTGTAGGTCACGGCGGCCAAACGCCCGATCTCGACGGCGACGAAGAGGATGGATACGACGAAGTCATCTACCCCGTTGACTTCCGTAACGCGGGACACATCGTGGACGATGAGATGCACCGAATCCTGGTGAACACATTGCGCCCTGGTGTGCGGTTGACAGCCATCTTCGATTCCTGCCACTCCGGATCCGCCCTGGATCTGCCGTACATCTACTCCACCTCCGGTGTGCTCAAGGAGCCCAACCTTGCCAAGGAAGCTGGCCAGGGCCTGCTGGGCGTTGTCCAAGCCTACGCACGTGGCGACATGGGCAGCATGGTGTCCACAGCCATGGGATTCATCAAGAAAGCTACTAAGGGCGACGAGGCTTACGAGCGTACGAAGCAGACAAAGACCAGCCCGGCGGATGTGATCATGTGGTCTGGCAGTAAGGATGACCAAACCAGTCAAGATGCCCAGATTGCTGGCCAGGCTACCGGTGCCATGTCGTGGGCTTTCATTGCCGCTCTGCGGAAGAACCCCCAACAAAGCTATGTCCAGCTGCTGAACAGCATTCGCGACGAGCTGGCTGCTAAGTATTCCCAAAAGCCTCAGTTGAGTTGCAGTCACCCGCTGGGTTCGTATTCTCTCCTTCCATCCGGAAATAAAGTGACTAATGTATCTCCAGACACAAACCTTCTTTACGTGATGTAAATAATCGTCACGTGGAAGTAGCCCCGAAGGTACCTGTGGACTCAAATGAATCCAGGTCTCAAGTCTTCTAGTCTCTAACGAATCGCCTTGCATGTAATTTCATCCTTCGGTGTCGAGTGTATCTTATTTGGCCTGGCTACCTGGTTGTGCACGTTGTTTTCTATGCCACGACCTGTGATTATTTCTCATCATATTTACGCCCTTTATCAGCCCATTCAAGTTTACAGCGAGTCTAGCTAGCCTCCAAAAAAAATCATACAAGGCCTAGTGGTGACGGCCTTTTGTCGTTCTGGGCTCATTACGGTCTTCGCTCTCGTCCAGCCCGCACATCATTGTTGATATGAGAATTTGCCTCCGCCAGGTTCCGTCGCCACAATGTATAGAACACAGGGCAAAAATAAATAGAGCCGGTTTTCATGATGGATTTCGATTCTTCCGCACCTACCATCCCCTCCAGCTTGCCCCAGATTTCAACCGCCTGTGATGCCCTCGCACGCATTGTCCACGCTCCGGGCGACCGATATGGCTCTTTTAGCCCGAGTTCATCATCATGATCTTCTCTCGGTGCATGGGAATGATTTCCAGTATCTTGTATACCTTCCGATTGGATTTGTTGACGTGTTTGAAAATGAAATACAAGCTCAACGGAGGCCTGGCCGGGGCAACATACACCACCAGCATTGGACTTGGCTGTTGCCGAAATCCCCCTGGAACGCTGTGGCCATTTGATATTTGAGCAGTAGTAGCTAGAAGGATACTTGTATGCAGTGCGAGCCATCGAATCTGGCCTGCTTGAAGTTTTCTACTCGAACTCGCCTGTTGTATCGAGTCCAGATATATGGGGTAGTTAACCACGTTGTTGGGGCTATTATCCATCCGCGGCCCCGTGTCCACGGGTGTTCGAGATGTAACGGCCTTGGGAGTCGTGAAATATACAAAAGCATCCCTAGCCAACCAGCAGCATCAATATAGATTGATAAATAAGGTGGTTAGAAGTCTACGGTAATCAAGTGACCCGAGAACTCCATATGACTCGCAAAAGGTCTATTTCTCCAATAAATCTCGTTCTAGTAAGAACAATCACGTGACTAGTAACGCGCGACACGAACGAACGCGCAAGAACATTGGCCAATACTTTGTATAGAGGGATCTCTTCTGCAGTTGACGATATATCATTCCCGTTGTCTTCTGCCCCTTCTTTTTCTTCTTCGTTTCAACCATCTTTTCCATCACTTTCGTTCTTGCTCTTTTTTTCTCCAGACATATTTCATCTTTCCAAATACCCTGTACTTCAAATTCTTATTTCCTCTTACGGCTTTTCGACATGGCCGCCGAGGACGCTTTGGACCGCTCTGAGCTAGATTATTTTGATCATCCACTTCATGTGGTTCCCTGGGAGGGTCCCAGATCTGAGCCTATCTCAGCCATGGAGGTGGCCTGCAAAGCACATGATTTCTATTTCCTGTCCACGCTCAACGCAATCGACGCCTTGGTCCCCGCTCTCGACCGCCGCCATCTGCGGGAGGATTCAGTTCTCCTGGACAGTGACGCACCTCAAAACAATTTCAGGCGAGGCCCGCAGTGGAACCACGAGTCTCCCTTCGCAACCATAGGCTTCGAAAACATTAGGGATGTGAGCGGGGCTCACTCGCTGTTGGACACTGCCAGAATAGCGGCGTTCCGAGACCATTCAACCTTGAGTGCCCCTATGTTCAAATACATTCCGACCCATTTGGCTGTTTGGATGTGGAGAAAGCTCGGCAAATCGTGAGAACATTGGCAACCCATTGCAGTGAGACGATTGAGCTCTGACAACCCCGCAGGCACAAGCGAACCATGCATATGTGGAAGGTCTTCTCAGAAGCTTATCCCAGATATTTTCCTGAAGTGTGTCCATATTTCTGTTTCACGATCAATACGCACAAGGATCCCGTGAGTGATTACTTTCGCTTGCTGGAAAGCGAAAAGCTCTGCTGGCGTGCTATCCTCTCCGTTTCCACAAATATCCTCGAGATATCCGATCTCGTTGCCATCGGCTCGATGCACAACCTGGCCGCGCTGGAGATTAATAAGATCGGTCGTTTGGACCCTGATCGCGGTGACTGGGCTAGAAAGGGAGGCATGACAGACAGTGTGGTCAGGAGCTGGGTCGACATGGCTCTAAAAGATAAAACCCTGCAGCATCTCCGCGTCCTGAAATTCCGCAACCAAGATCGCCTCACTCCTCACTGCCTCGCTTACTTGTCCGAGCTCCCCGAGCTTCAATTTGTCATTACTCAGAACTGCAGTGGATTCACCAACGTCGTCGCGCCCCTTTGTGCCCTGCGGCCTGACCGTCCACATGATCAGGAGAATTTCAATCCCCGTGTCCATGGCTGGATTGCCCGGACCCTGGAAAATGTCATCTTGATGGACAATCGCGGCCACGACATCCTGTCTCCTATTATCAAACTGTACACCTACACCCCCAACGAGTCTTTCAACAGCTTCAAAGACATGGAGCCTTTGCGGGCCTCTTCTCTTGCAGTCTCTGTTCCCGTCTTGGAGTTCCAGCTGCCCATAAATGAGCGTCGGGTGTACAATATCGATATGCAGCGAGGGAAGTACCGCGACGTGTGCTGCTTTGTTCGTGGTAAAAGCACCCCGAATACTCTCAAGCGAGACGCCGAGAAAAGTGCCGACATGTCTCGCCCCCAAAAAAGGATTATGAAACAACGAAAGGATGGCCTTGATTTAGCCCAAATGCTGGACGGCCTCTGGTGATAATAAGCCTGCCTTTTTTTTTTACGTGTTACGAATTTGCAGACGAGCCTTTGCTTTCAATACCGACATGACCTAAAAAAAAAAATTCACGACCGGCTTGCCAGAAACTCGAGAACCGTATCGCATCGAAGGAGACACTTTCTTTTTCCTTGTTGAGGATTTTTGTTTCTTATGTCATGTTTTTTCACGGCGCAGTGGTGTAGCGGTGTTCAAAGATCCCTCTCAATGTGGAATTTGGGATTGCCCTTGGCTCATCCTGGCCCAATGGCCTTTCTGGACAGGCGTCATGTGTCTCTTATGGGGCATATGTCAGGACAAATCCAGATTGGTCGGGGGTCAGGTTACCAACAGCTGATAGGGGTCCAGCGCTGGGAACTAAGGAGCAGAGAGCAAGCAAAGGAAGAAAATCAAATGGGAAAAGGGAAAATAACAGCAAAAATGATGGATGGTGTTTAATTTAATGTTGATTTGATACCCTCTAAGCCCTCTAAGATGCCAAGATAGTATGTATTCATCGATCGGACTCCTCACTTACCATTTTCCATGCATTCCCAAGTAGGCGCGAAACAGCGAATAGAAGAGGTATTCTAGGTTGACTGTGGCCCCGTAATCTACACTTCTTTTCAGCGATCTTCCCGACAACCGGAGATCCTTCACGTGGCGAGGACTCAGTATGCATATCGAAGGAGAAGTTGTTGATCTCGTGGAATCCAGCGATCGTAGAATGAGTATCACTGCTACCTTGCTTATCAAGGCGAGTCGTTTCAGGTTGAAAACAAGCATTACTGGTGTAGCCTTCAGCCATATTGAGCTGGACAAGCTGCGGCCACTGGGACAGCTTGGTAACATCTATAGCCGTATTGTTTTAACCTTCGAGCATCCGCTGAGCAAACCACTGTCACATTTGCATGCTTGCAATTGAAAATTCTGCCCTATGGGCTTATCGCCCCCCCCTGGCAATAGCTTATCAGTCAGATTGTTAGCCATGCATCGGCTGAACTCGCGCTGAGGCCTCTTCTTATCAACATTGGAATCCGACCGCGTTATTCGGCGAGCGGCAATCGTCTCATGGCTCTGAGTATAGTACGTTCCTGCTGCCAGGCAGCCACTCTTGATTGAAACCAGCATCTTTCCCAAGGTCCAAGGTGTATCAATTGATACCTAGGTACCAGCGAAGTCGGGTTTCAGGCCGGAGAATGTCGGGTGCGGATCTGTCCAGCTGCAGGCCTAAGAGCTAAAAGCAGACGAACTCGTACGCTACTAGCGTCTAGAGAAACAAAATAAAAAAATACAACAGTCAAAAATAAGATGCTTCACCAAGTACCGCGGATTCCCTACAGGCGGTGACTGGCCTTTCCCACTCCGCCCTTCAGGCTACCTTTAGGGGGGTATATGGTGGCGGCACAGCCGCCTGAATATTCTTCACCCACCTAACAGGTAACCCTGAAGGGCGAAAAGGCGCCTTCGGCCATTCCACCCTTATAGACATTTACACATCCCCTCCTACCCATTTCCCCTCTTCGTATCCCCCTTTCTCTTCGAATACCGGACCATCTTTGCTCTGACAACGTATCCACCGCTGTCCGACATATAAGTTACAAACACATTGGCCGCCCTCAACCACGAAGAACTAACTCATCATCTGCTCCCTGGTCAGATCATCGGTCTTCAGATAATCCAGACATGACACCTACTTTGTCTCTTGGACAGGTTTTGAAAGGCAGAAGAGGAGTCTACACCGTCACAAAGCAACTACACGACTGCGTCTGGCTTGCCACGTATGCCCCTTGATTGGAGTTACATGAAATCGAAATCATATCTGACGATAATTACAGAGACCAGCTTCACCAGAGATTTGTGGCCAAGAGCGTCCGTCATTTCCGATTGCAGAACGAACGAGATATCCTGCTTCGTTTCCAAAGTCGAACACCGTATATTCGCCCCCTCATTGATGAAATTGAGGATTCGTCAGCTCCTCCTACGCTCATACTGAAATATCTGGATGACAACGTTCTCCATGCCTCAAACAGCAAACGTCTAACCCGGCCAGAAGTGAAATACGTTGCGAAAAAGGTTCTCGAGGCGTTATTACTTTTACATGACGAGGGGTTTGTACACACTGGTATGCTCTAATCGTCCTAGATTTTGTGCTTTATGAACTAAATTGATCGTGGCATGGTGTAGATATCAAGCCTAGCAATGTGTTGGTGAACCATGGACAAGATGACGTCCGATTTAGAGATGTCCAATTGGCCGATTTTGGAAGTACTGTCCACGTGGATTCTACTTACGCTCAGCATGGTGACCCAATTGGCACGCCCATTTTCAGGAGCCCCGAAGCACACCTTCAAATGAAATGGGACACTGCCACGGACATTTGGTCGTTTGGGGCAATGGTAGGTCTAAAATCTATTACAAGGCGGTTTGAACGGGATAATAACGACCACCTATGATGCAGCTTATCAGTCTCCTTTATGGGGATGGATTCCATATTTTCAAGCCCGATGTCCCTATAGACCATGATGAATATGATGTTAAAATTCTCATGAAGCATCATCGATGCTTCGGCCCCTTCCCCGAATCGTACGAGGAGATTGCGGACCAGGAGAGGCTGGCAGTTCTTATGTGGGTTATGAAAGAAAGCCCTCCGGAAACCCTGAGGCCCTTTCATCTCACAACTACGCTAGAGATTTGTCTGGAAGACAAGGAATTCGTGTTGAAGACCATGAAACTCGACCCCAGAGATAGGCCCACTGCACGACAGCTCTTGGACGATAAATGGTTTCATTAAGATTGGCCATAAATAGTTTGTGGAATTCAGGACAACACCGTTAAATTACCGACCAATGATTAGATACCTTTGATGTGTAGACCTTTCCTCTTTGTCTCTCGTCTGTCTCCGTTCCATCAGCCCCAAAATTATTCTGTCAAGTATAGATCCTTCCATAGATGACCTGTAGCAAGCGAATCAATCCCTGAATAAATCTCGATGTTTCTCGGTACGCTAGAATTGAGAGATTCCATCGACTGTTCGGAATCATGGCAAACTTTGCTGTATCAGTCAAATGAATCGCGCAACAGCGCCATATTCGACGGTTCTGCATCAACGACTTGATTTAAAACGTCCAAAATTTTCGGAAGGCCTTGAAGCTCGTCCTGGAGCCTTCTAAGGGACTTATCACTACTTCCATAGCTTGCGGAAGCGTCATAAAGTGATTTTACTGATTGAATTACGGTGCTAATGATAGCCAATGCTGAAGCAATGAGAGATATAGGATCCGACATTGAGAAAATCTGTCGCCGAGGCTTCTCCTAAGAGGTTACTGTGAGAGAGAGTTGAATTCAAGAAACATTTCCTCATTATACGAAGGGCGGATGGGGCCTTAGCGAGTCGATCATCCATTGTATCACGTGATAAATATGACCGGTCAGACTAGCAGCCGTGGCTGAGCCCTCACGTAATGCTCACCTCGAACGGAGGTGCCTAAGACGAGTCCATCTAAAGTAGGTGTTCTGTCAGCATGATTGCTGGTTAAACTTGACTATCTAAAGGAACGTGTATCAGGGCCCGTAGTAACTCACGCTCTTGAAACTAAGGGAGGGAGGATGGTTAAGAAAAGAGGCAGGATCGGACTGGATAAGAGAAGCAGCTGTGGGGAGCCAATGAGAAAGACCGAAGGCGCGAATGCGCATTGGCCAAATGGAGCTTAAGGCGAGACATGGGTCTCCGGTTCGCTTCAGGGCGTACAGGGGTGGCTTTTGGTGTAGAATAAAGGGGTCTTCAGGGGTTCAAGCAGGCAAGGTGAAGTACCTGCTAAAAGGTGATTTTCTACCGGACAGACGAGATGAAGCGGTAGGCAAAAACATACAACAGTCAGGATTCCCATGTGGTCACCCACCATAGTACTAACTGACCGGCGTGTGGCTAAAGCGCGGTCAGTACTCGGGTGGGTGTTGCCCGGGTGAGTTTAGGGTGAGCGCCGCTTTACGGTCGCGCGACCGGGGGTGAGCAGGGTGAGTGCACTATAGACGGGGTGAGAACCGGGTGATCAGCCGGGTGAGATGCCGCCAAGAACGCACATATACCGCACAGACTCTCTGCACTCAGCTGTTACCAAGTATGATTGGCTTGCCTTGATCTCGCTGAAACCGCGGTCTTTTCGCAGTTGTTGCCATGATTGGCTGAGACGGACGACAAGGCTGACTCCTAGTTTGTCTTGGGCATGAGATGTTGGTCTGGCCTCTACCAATTTACCTATATTGACACCGTCTTCGAATCGTTGTTCACTAGTAGAGTTAGTAGAATATGTCATCCTCTTAATATACTATTGTCTCATTTAAATTCAAGGCTTACAGAGTGTTGTTCTGGCCGGTCAAAAATTCGGCCTAGTACTTCCTGACTCATCTATTCTTATGTAACCTTGGAATACGAACTATGGTGACATTCTCGGCTAAATAGTTTCACCGATTCCGGGTGCCTGCTAAGAAAATATCTTTTTGTTATTGGGAAACCTAATCACTGTTGGGAACTGCATAATAACGGCGTTTCAATTTGGAATACTAAAGCTAAGGAAGAAAGAAGAAGAAGAAAGAAAAGAGGAGAAACTACAGCGACCGATGCAATATTCAACTCTTATTATCTCTCTATCCCTTCTTGTCCACGTTCGGATAACGGTAGTTCGGACGAAGCTATGATCTGTAGGCGGTACAATTTGTATTTACTAGGAGGCTGTTGTTTCTGGCAACCTTACCGATACGGTTTAGCGCCTGTCTCTTGTTGCCTCGGTTAGGTTTAGTATATCTATATTAGGTTTAGCTGTTTGTGCTAGCCTATAACGAGAACTGCCGCCTATCGCCGCCTTCGTAGATCCTCATAAACTATATAACCCGGCTGGTGCGTCGCTCAACTATCCCTTCTTTCCAACCTATCTTATAGATGTATCTCTTGGGCTTTGCCGTTCTAGCAGTATGCTGCCAGCCTGGAACTCCTTTCTCCAGATCTCTGTGCTCGGAGATGACCGTCTCTACTCTCAGGTACTACACCTCCTTGGTTCTCTGATATTGTTACGACGATATATTCTCGAGACCTCTGATTTGATTGTTATTAGTATAAATCGCCGATCTTAGTCGTTCCTAGAGAAAGGTCTGTCTGTCTTCTAGGGCCGTGACTTTTGTCCCCATTCTCCCTCTCCCCCAATAAGTTTTTCTAGTTGTCGGCTGTAACTTATATAATTCTTGGTCTAAGTCTCTTAGAAAAACCTACAAGGTATATCTCTGATCTCTGAGATAGAGGGATAATATATCAAGATGTATATAGATATTGGAAATCTGTTAGAAACAATACAGCTGCTAATAGCAAAAATGTCTCTTGATATCTATAAAGTGTTTTTGAGAGAAAAACTAGATATATAATAGGCTTTATTACTTATAAAAAACAGATAGTTAGTGATATAATTATAAAACATATTATATAATAGTCATAAGATCGCTTATAATTAATCTAGTTTATCAAATATCAAGACAAATATATTTATGATTATAGCTAGACTATATATTTCCTACACAAGATTATCTTAATTAGTTTAGAGTTACTATAGGCTTTATAATATAATGATTAAAATAAGATTTGGTCTTGTATATAATAGAGGCCTAGAATGGTTAATCTAGCTGATTGATCTATAATAGAGATCTGTATTTCTCTAAAAGCCCGACTATATTACTATATATATCTATTCTAGGAATAAGTTATAAGCTTTCTTAAGAAAAAAAAGAGATAAGATAATATCTATAGAGAAAGTGGATTAATAGTTTATAAGATAAGATAGATTCTGGCTAAAACCTAGTTCTATATCTTAACTATAGATAAGACTATTGTTACGGACCCACTTCGGTTGAAGAAAATAAGTCAACCACGACCAACCGATCTGTCAAGATTGACACACACGTGACAAGGGAGCCAGGTATGGCAGCCGACCAATTGGCATGAAGGAGCCAGGAACAGCTGTCTAAGGCAGCAAGGCAACAGTGGCTCATCAGCGATGTGCACTGCACATCAGCGATGCGCGGAGCGCATCAGCGATGCGCGGAGCGCATCAGCGATGTGTCCCGAACACATCAGTGACAGGAAGGACTGGATATATAAGGACACTCACTTGGCACCATGTATTTAGTTCTTCGCGATCAATCTCTTCTTGATTCTACATCATTGTTACTTAGGAACCACAAGATTGGAATACGACAACGGTTCATTGTTCATACTTGTCTCGAATCCAAACCTAACGACGAAGGGGAGATCCATAAGAACCTGACCTCGTCGGCGCCCTCAGCAGCTCCACGTTTACTAAGCAAGACCTCTAAGGACTTGAGCATCTAAGGCCTGTTGCCGTGTGTGATCGGTAGGCATTGCAATAGAGTGACGAGACACCCTTGGCGTGCAGAGTGACCAAGAGAAGTATCACCCTTTGAGGACCCACTCACCGAGACTCGCTAGGTAGTGCGTAACAACTATATATAACTTTCTATATTATATAGGTCTTGAGTTATAATTATAAAAATTTATAAACTCTCTCTATATTCCTCTATTCTAAGCCCAGTTCCTTTATCTATTAACATTATAAACTACTATACCTATCAATCTTAATAATATTAACTTCTATTCTTATCTACCTACCAAACCTTCCTCTATATCTATTATTCCGGTTTCTTATTAAAAGATCTATTAGGCTCTAATAGCACCTTATACCTATCTATTTATCTTCTTTTCTATAAGAATCTAAAATCTTATAAAAGATAATATAGTTTTAAATACTAGTAATAAATTTAATCTCGAAATAGATAGAGTTATATAAGAAAATAGTCTAGCTATACATAATATAAACTATAATATATATATCGATTTGGGAGTCTAATCTAAGACCGAGATATCTTAAAATAAACAACCATTATTAACAAGTAATAATTTAGACTTATTACCAAGCTACTTAAAAATAAACTTGACTAAGATTATCTACCAGATTATTTAGACTGATCTTTAGTAAGGATATTTAATAATCTAGAAATCATTTTATTACCAACAGAACTATATTCACATTAATAAAATAAAATACTATAATTATTATCTTATAATTTATCTTCTATTTCTAACTTTATCGGAAATATCTATCTTCTTATTTGTCTCTTCGACTATAACCCTAAATAACTTACCCAGATAATACCAAGATTATATCTTTTTACTAGAAAATTATTATAAGCTGTATCCAACTTCTACTTTATCATAAGTCGGCTTGACTTATCTTTATATCTTGTTGTCACCTTCGCTAGATATATTAACACAACCTAGAATAAATAACACAAATCAAGAGGAATCTAAGATAGACAATAACAACTCAAGATCCGAAAACTAGTAAGATCGGATAGAAGTTATAGAGGATAGAATAATAATATAAAGTATCTAGACCGAGAGATTCTTAAGTAATAAGTTATGTCCAGATAAGGGTTCTGGAGAGGGTTCTATCGAGAAAAAACAAGATCCTATATCTCCCTGGTCGATATTACAAACTTGTCGAGTCAAAAAATCAGAAACCCTTTCTACTAAGACTTACTCTTTTTGTCTATAATAAAATATAGAGTTTAAACAGTTAAAACAATCACAAGCTATTAATATAGTCATCTTTACTTATCAAAATAACAACTTTACTAGAAATGCTAACACAAGTCCTCTAGCTAGACTATGATGCTATAATCATAAAGATAATAATAGCCGTAATAATAATCGCTAAAAATAGACTATAA